TAGCTGTTAATAAATTTAGTCTAGTTAGGATATTTTTTCCTTCTTTTTTAAGTGATATTCGTCATGTATTAAAAGGGAAAAACTTGAAGGAAACTGGACTTTGGGTGGTAAACACACAATACAATATACAGATCTCAAATGATAATGTACACCTGAAAATTATATAATTGTATTAACCAATGTTACCCCAATAAACTTAATTAAAAAATAAATTTTAAAAAAAGTAAAAAGAAAAAAAAAAGAAAAAGGAAGAACTTACATATAGCTTTTCTTCATGAGTTAGACATACAATAGTATTTAAATATTAGGGTCTATATGACATTTGATTAAGATCATGTGGACTTTTATATATTCTATATTTCTTCTCTTTATACTTTACAATAAATTTCAAAGAGTGAAGGCCATGTGAACTTCACCTTTGGTGGATTGGTGGATTAGGGGTAAAGAACTTCAGTTGTGGGATGCTAGAGATAATGAAAAAAATGTAGATTTTTTTTCTCCTGAGATTTGCCTTAGTGTTTTTGTCATGATTTCTTCTTTAATTAAAAAGGAAAAACATATTAAAATAGAGAAGAGTAGATGAATAGTTGTTTCTAGTTTATAGACAAAGTGATTTTGATATTAAATAATAGTCACTTAGAAGGAAATTAGATTTCAATGCAGAGGGCTGTTTCCCCCAACATTCTTTTCTTTTATGGTATATAAAGTGAGTCTGAATATATCAGGGAATTGAAAATATAAGTATAAAAATTAAGTTGAGTTTTTATTAAGAGAGATTTAAAAATGGAGAACAGTTTGTTGTTCAAAAGGAAGATGTAAAGAATGATATAATGTTGGCTTTTAGTAGGACTTAAAAACATTAAAAATCAAATGAGAAGAAAAAATTAATCACAGATGTAAAAAAATTAAGGTTTAAGAGAAGTTTATAAGATTTTGAAATTAAATACCTTTTTGTAATGGCATAGAAGTGATTAGCAAAAGCTTTGGCACCTTGTGGCAAATACTGAAGACGATTGGATAAATTAATGAATTCTTAGAGTTAGAAGGAAGTTGAATAGGCAAATTTTAACGTGTTCTTATATTTTTTTTTAACATTTGTTAAATAGACATTGGGTAACAAATTATATGGCATCTGCTTGATGAAATATTTGATGTTCATGAGAGGAATATTAAAAAATTTTAAAGCTTCTAAATCATGCTGAATTTCTCTTGGCATATGACTATGGCTATTAGAAATTACTGTATAGGTTGTCTAAAGCACCAGTTTAATTTTTAAAATTATTTAAAGATCAGTATTGATTAGACAACCTGGAATTAAGAGTTACTGTCACAGAGGCTAGCTATACCATCAGCATGTACTTATTGAGCACTTATTAACTGCTAGGCCCTGGGATAAAATGATGAACAGAAAACTTGTCCTTCTGGGAGCTTATTTTCTAGGAGGGAGGACAACAGGATAGGCATTTAAAGTAGAATGTGATGAGTGCCCAAACAGGGGAATGCATGGAGTGAGTACCTCACCAAAGCCTGTAACTAACTCAGTCAGCCTTTGAAAATCTGCATATGGTGACAACTAAGCTGTGTTCTGAAGAATTAGATTGGAGATAGCCTGAAGAAGGTACAAAGAGGGAAGATGTCCATAGCTCTGGACAGAGGGAGCAGCCTGTTTTTAAGCTTGGTGACACTAGAGGAACCTGGGATACTCAGACCTGTGGGGGACATCCTCCAGTTCTTCACATCTTTTCACTGCATTTCATCTCATAGATTATAATCTTCTAAGGGCAAAAATTATGTCTTTTACTAGTATATCTTCCATGGCTTCTGGGGCAATGATGGACTTTTCATCTGTTTAATAAGTAAGTACTTGCCATTAACACTAGAATCACGTGAGTTGGACATAGTGAAAATGAATTGAATCAAGTTTAGTAACTTCTTTAATAGCATGTTGATTCTTTAAAAAAAATAGAAAATTGTTACAAATTATGTTGTAAAAATTATGTAATTTGTTTTATTTTGATTTTGGTATATTTTAATATACAGAATTTTAAAAGATATTTCTGGTTGATCATGGCAGAATACTGACATCTCTGTTCTCTCTAAACCAACTAAAAATAATGACTGAGAAACAGAAAAGATATTCAATCTTTGATAACTAACCAAACTTTATAATCAGAATATATGAATTAGTGCTGTTAAGTTCAGTGAGAATTGAACTAGGGCAAGAGAGGATGCCAGGAGCAGGTGATTTCTTTTATAGAACTCAGGCAAAGTGAGTCGAAACAGCTTTCTTCTAAGTAGGTGATCCACCATGGGGACAAAACCAATAACTCCATACTTAAAATAGCAGAGTTGGTATGTACATTGGACTCCCTGAGTGGCAAAGAGGGGTGGGGTTGAATTCAAACTGTACAGTCATACTACTTTTGTAAGAAGTTTAGAGTGGAGGAGAAACTGACACCAAGCAGCCTTGCAACTGCTGATCTTGGGTCACCTGAAGGGAAATAAAACTTTTATTATGATCCCCTAAAAATCTATGTCATATAGGCCTCTGTGAGTTGGAGAGACTAGTCCAACATTGAGTCAAGCCTCAAGGGAGTAGTGTATAAATGATAAGATAGTAAAGAGGTAAGAGTGAGTTGATAGAACTAGGGTACAAAATAAAAGAAAAATATAGTCATTATAGAAATGAAGGTCACTTTCAAAGCAGCAGATATACAGTATAGCTGGGGATATTGGAAGTAAGCTTGAGAAATTTGAGCAATCCAAAATGGAAAAAGTAAAAATTAGAAGATGAGAGAGAAAAAGAGAGAGAGAAAGAAAAAAATACAGTAAATCTAGTTTACCAATAATTGATATCCCTTAGGAACACAATAGAATAAATAAAATAGAAAAATTTTTTAAGTCATTAAGAAGAGTTTCCTGCAATAAAAGAAGACTCGAAATTCTAGAATGGTTTCTAGTCTTTAAATATAAAGATTTTATTGTTAGATCAAAATGGCGGGGGTGGGGGGCATCAAGCCTCCCTGTAAAATAAAGAGGCTGGCCTCAGGCTTTTCCAATCTAGGAGACATGGAAAAAAATATACAAAGTAGACAGAAAAATATCTGACCCAAGAATTTTATGTCCAGGCAAACTATAGGTGAAGTATGATCTAATTGACATGATGCTGTACACCTGAAATTAATATTAAATAATATCGAATGTCAACTCTAATTGGAAAAAATTTTTAAATATTAATTGACATATTTCCAAAAAGAAAAACCATGGTTTAGTTCCCTTAGTCAGCCTTGTGTGGGATGGCGCAGGGAGGTGGTGGTGGTGGGGAGAGTGGGTTAGAGAATGGAGGCAACTATATTATAAACTATTGAATCGAGATGAATTGAATACTAGATTAAAAATATTAGTGATTAGCGTTGAATAAATTTAAGTGTTGAACTAACATTAAAAATGTTATAACTATGGCAATGTAGAAAGAATAACATGAGAAAATATTGAGTTGAGGATGTGTAGGTAGTTAATTTTCTTGTTCATAACAAGAAATTTTCTTGTTCCTAACAAGATCAATGATGATAATGCCGAGTATATTAAGTATACTAATTTTCTTAAAGAAATGTTGTCTAAAGAACACAGACTATAAATTGTGCAAGAAAACAATGTAATGAAATATTTAATAAAGATAATTGAAAGCTAAAAGCCATGCAAAAAAGATAATAAAATTAAGGTGAAATATTTGGCACATAAATAAATATAAAATTATAAATTGGATAACCTCATTTATTAAAAGAAAATGACACTCAGAGCAAGAGTCAACCTATTAATGAGACGCCATCAAAAAAGGGAACAACAAATAATATTTTAGTAAATATTTTAGGCTTTGCAGTCATAAAATCTGTTGCAGCTACTCACTGCTACTGTTATAGCATGAAAGCAGCCATAGACAACATGTAAATGAATGAACAGTACAGTATTCCAATAAAACTTTATTTACAGAAACAGTGAGCCTTAGAAAACTTGAGAGTAAAAGGATGACCAAAGACTTAACAGACAAATTCAAAGGGAAAAATGAGAGCCCAGGTATTTGTGTCAGATAAGGTTAAAGTCAAGACAAAACCCGTCAATTGAATTGCATTTCCTAATGAATCTCATGACAAATAATACAGCTTTAAAATTTTTAAAATAAAAAATATAAGGAGAAACAGACAAATCAGATTATAGTAGGGGATTTTGATTCATCTCAGTCAAATTTAAAAAGCAGAGATTTATGCAGATTATGCATAATTAGAACTAAAAGGAAAGCATAAAACTCTACCATCTGAAAAAATAACGAGTCAAATGAGAAAAAGTCAAATCCAAGTCAGCTAGAAAGTACTGATAATCAAAAGTCTGTGAATTAGTACTTATGGGAGATAGCTAAAGCAGTAATCAGAAAAATTCATAGATGTAACTAGATTACTAAGGCAAAGGAATGAAAATAAAAATTCAGCTTCAGAAATTACAAAAATAATAAAATCAATGAGAAGAAAGAAGGTGTTATCAAGGATAAAAGCGGAAATGGATGAATTAGAAAACATACATGGGGTACTAGTAAATCCAAGAGATTTTGGGTTGTTTGGTTTTTTTTAAAGATGTTGATAAAAACATTAGGTAAACCTCTGTTGAACCTATCATGAACAAAGGAGAAAGCACAAATACCACCTGTGTGTATGAATACACAGAATATGAGAGTGAATCACATATTTAGGAAATTAAATGAAACAGCTTGGGTTTGCTTTGAAATATTTTCTGTCCTGAATATCTAGACCTTCAGGGCAGCTAAATTAAAATTTTTAGTCCAACTTTTCTTCCTTGCATCCTAATAAAGTGAAAAGGAAAAACTCTTACTTTTGTTTTACATTGGTGTATGATTAGGTTTACTCATTAATGAACATGATTTTTATTCACCAAGCTAATATTTCAGTTTTTTTTTTTTTTTTCTTACCAGAGTAAGTGGAATGTTTCTTGAGGGTAATACAAATTATCTTTGTCATCAGCAGGTAGAATGTAGTAATAATAAGAGTTAACATTTATAAATAATAACTGCCATTTGTTCAATGTTTAACATGTACAAGGCAGGGTACTTAGTGTGTTGCATGCTTTGTATCATTTGATCCTTACAGCAACCTGATGATAATATAGCTACTGTTATTCCTGTTTTACAGAGGAGAAAACTGTGGTTAAAAGATTTGTTCAAAGTAACACACCATAAGGGGCAGATTTTGGCCTTGAGCAAACATGTCTTTTGACTCTTGAAGCATTTATGTATCTTATTCACTGGGATAAGGAATTTTTTATTGGGTGTTGTAAAGGAGGGAGTAGTGTTTTTTTGTAGCTGGTGTTTAAGCTGTTCCAGCAGCCATGTGGGTGACTCTTGGCATGTGGAGAAAGTGGATTAGGCCACATCAGCCAACTACAATGCTGACTTGACAAATTAGTTGATTCATTTTCATTGTAGACTATGTGATGTTATGACATATAAATGCTGCTGCTAGACCTTTTGTGTTTACAGAAGTAGTGAGTATTGTGTGATTTCTTTCTGCCATTTTCTTATTAAACCTCCAAAGACTCATAAGCCATGATAATTATTCTACTTAGTATAATTGGGAGAGCACTGAACTGAATGGTGAAAGTGTGGTTGGGTGGCTGGTCTTTGTGCTCAAGAAGTTTCTAGTTCGGATGTGATAATTATGGAAAATTACTTTTTTTAAAACAAGATTTTTCTTTTTTGTATTTCACAGAAATATTTGTTAAAATTGCCAAATATTTGCCAACATATCAAAAAACGTAGACTTCTGAGTGAAGTTTTAGGTCTACAGAGTTCATTCCATTGGCTTTGTAAAGAGACTTGGGTTCTGAAAGTAGATATAGCCTGCAACCACCAATAATGAAATAAAAGGACTTGCTACCTAATGACATATGTTTAGTGGAAGACCCCAAAATGCTTTGAGTTATTTCTAAAACTTAACCAGAGTAAAAGTTATTTAATTCAATTTGGAGGGGTAAGGTAACTTAGTATTTTATGATGCCTCTTATTATTTGAATTCAGTATTGGGGTGTTAGATTACAATGAACAGTCCATCCCATTAGAAGGGTGATATACTGGTATTTGACTTCCCAGGTGAGCAAACTTTGCTTATTTCTATTCGTTAACTAGGCCTTTTGATATTTTTGTAGACAATCTGCTTCATCTTGATTCTGCAGCATTCCAAACTCTGGTATCCTTGGGGGTCTCTTAACAGTGCTATGGTGCAGAAGATTTAAAATCAGGTATGGCTGTGGGGCAGAAGTCCCTCAGTGAAATTCTCAATTTAAATCTACCTTACACTCTCTGACTTATCATTTGGGTTTTTTTTTTTTTTTTCTGGTGGTCTTTTAGCTGATGTTCACAAGGAATAGAGTCACGTGATGTATGAAGGGAAACATATACACTTCTCTGAGGTTGACAATAAGCCCTTGTGCTCATATAGCCCCAAACTGTGCAAGCAGCGGCGACTCAACGGCTACGCTTTCTGTATCAGACACGTTCTGGAGGACAAGACTGCCCCCTTCAAGCAATGTGAATATGTGGCCAAGTATAACAGCCAACGCTGCACCAACCCCATCCCCAAATCAGAGGATCGTAGGTAAGAGCTAATAATGGGACTAATCTTTATTTAATTAGTAGGCTTCGCTTTTTTTTTTTTCTTTAATTTTTGGATATGGTGAATTGAAATGTTACATTCTAGGAGTAATCTAAGTAAACTTTGGAATGCTTCTAAAAATGAGAAATGGCAGTTTTAAAAAAAATGAATAGTAAATTTGGGGAATTATTTGAAAAGTATGTTGAGGGTTTTTTAAATTGACTTTCTAGGATTATTTTAAAATCTTTAAAATTGTTACTCTAAGTATTGGTACTGACATGTTTGGTTTGCAGCCTTATAAAATGTTACCAACTTCTCTACTAAGTTTTGTCATCTGCCTTAACAAGAAAAATTATAGGAACTACTTAGGTGTTGTAAATAATTTTGGAATTTTTAAATCTGAAAGGTAGCAAAGGGTATATACTTATTGAAAAAGAATTTTTCAAAAGAATGATTACTTGAATCATTCAGAAGATTTACTTCCTGTCAGACTTCTAAGCGGTGTTTGGCATTATTTAATAATCTTGCTTCTTTTAGTTAAAAGGAGGTATATAGAGTATGTTTATTATAAATTAGAAACTAATTTCATAGTAAGGGTAGGTAGGCTTTATCATTAGAATTATGAACTTAGGCTTTGCTAAATTAAAAATAAAATGGAGAAGTGTTTTTAAAGAAGGAGTGTTATACATATTATTCATCTTTCATATTCTTAGGAAAATTCATACTATATTTCATATATAATCTTTTTCATGTCTCTTTTTCTTTAGTTCTCCAGAAACCATGTTGAACATTGTAAGATATTAGAGAAATGTGTGCTTCTTTTTCAAAAAGTTTCACACATTTGTTATCTTTAGGCAGAAAATTTGAAATTTCGACTTCTATCTTTTAAAAATATATATATGCAACTTTTATTTTTCTTCCTATACATAAGCAAATGTCACCTGAATACATTGGTTGAAAAGGAATCATGTATTTTATAGGTCACGGCGAGCAATTTTTACACTTTTAGTATAATGTGGTGATTTGGAAATACTCTGTTAGAATTTCTAATGAGCACTAACGGCTTCAAATTACAATACCTGAAAGTTAGAAACAGCTGCTCAGTGAGGCAAGGAATAAAATTTTAATTTCAGGTGAGAAAGAGACCACTGTATTAGGCTAAACATGTCTGTCTAGTTGGTTTTAGCAGATTGAAAATGATAGTTTTTTAATCCTGCCCTATTTAAACTTGAATGGATGAACTTGAATTGTTTACATTAAGCTCCATTATAAACACATCTCTGTAATTTTGTTTTAAATTCAGTTTATCACAGTTGCAGTTGTCAATCTTAGATATTTTTCATTTCAGCTGAAGCAAGTATTATAAATAACAGCAGGAAGTAAAGTGAGGGTCCCTCTGAATTTCTCCAAAATATTAATTTTGTGAAGCATATGTCTTTACCTTTATAGTCTAAGTAATTTCCTCTTTTTAGAATAAGATATGAAGGGAAAGTACTGTGTGTTGCTATATCAGAGAAGCTGTGCTTAATAAGTACTGGGTTACATATTTTTTTGGAAATTGATCCAAGACCATATGAGTGCAAACGGTATTAGTATTTTTGTAGTTTTGTTTGAAAATAAAGCAGACATTAACAGAAGGTAATAGTCTTAAGTTATTTCAGAAAATCCAGGTTAAATTCAGATAATAATATGTCTAAACTTGTGTGTAAATATTACTAGTTGTAACTATATTACATGACATACTATAGAAAATATTAATATTCTTTTGAAAATATGCTTTCATTATTGTTAATGCAGTTACTCTTTGGACACTTAAGGATTTGATATGGCTTATGTATTGTTTTAGAAAAAAAATTCCCAAGGACTTTTAATTAACAAAATTATCTGATTGGTGGTCAACTAGAAGAAGCTTTTTAATATCTGGTGTCTAGTTTATCTGGTCTGTATTATAAATGCTCATGTATGATATTCCACCTTTTTGGAATAGTGTTATGTTCAGTAACTGGTGTAATTAAAAAATAAAGTACATTTTCTAATGCTCATTATTATAACCTTGGTTTCTCAGAAATAAGTTGGTTATTTTATGTAATATTTTAAATTAAGTTTGCTATACTTTATGTATATTTTTAGTAGTACATATGTATTTGCCAAGAACTTGTTATCTGTATGTTTATTTTCTAAAACAGTTTAATTAAGATATAATTCACATACCACACAATTCACCCTTTGGAAGTGTATAATTCAGTATTTTTTTAGTATATTCACAGGGTCCAACTGTCTCCACAGTCTGATTTTATATTTTCATCCCCCCGAAAGAATCCTGTAGCCATTACTCCCCTGGATAGTTATTTTTTTATACTAGTGATTCATATTTGCATACTTATTTTAATTGCTGTTAGTAATTAAATAAGCTGTTCTAATTCTAGTTGTGAAGACTTGCCTTTTAGCAGAGGCACCGTTTTGAAGAGTTCAGACTCCATGTTGTAACAGTGTGCCAGAGTGGCTGGAGCGAATTGAGGGTGAGGTTGAAGGGGGACCAAACGTGTGATCAGCCTCTGCTGCATTATGTAATGAAGCATGTAGTAGCCTCATTTACCAGTTCAGGCTGCCCACGTGTAAATGAGCAGAAAAAGCTGATCTCTAAATTAAAAAACTGCCCAACCTCATTTCTCCCCAAAAAACTAATCCTTTTGTTAATTTGCAAATGAGTGGAAAACAACAAAACCTTTTACTATTTATTGGGAAGCTTCTTGGTTAGTACAGTTATCCCTGAAACCCTTTTTCTTGTTGGCTATGGCTTTATGAATCTACTCTGTTTAAGGTATATATGGGATTAGCTTAACCCTGCTAGGTATACATGCACACACACAGAATAGATTCTCTTTATTATACAATTTTAAATTAAAGAGTGCTTCTGATAGATTGATTTTTAAGATAAACCAACAAAACAGTGTCTCCTGTTTATTTGGTGAATCTGTATTTGAACAATTAGTAAAAAAAAACTTTTTTGATGCACTTTAATTAGTTTGAAGATTAACGGTAATTATTTACTTTATTGCATTTTTTCTGTACTGTGTTACCCATATCTGTGGAGATATCACAAATGTGCTGCCATAAAAATAGGTGCCGTTTTCAAATAAGTTTGGGAAACACTGCCAGATGGGTACATTTCCACCTTGTAGCATAATGCACATTGTCATACAAAATGCTTTGAGAAGTTGTTCAGCAGAAACAAACAACAAAATCATTTTCTAATTCTGTTTAAGCCATCATTTCCTGAATTTACTGAAGCATGGAATACTGTTTCAGGGCATACTGGTTAACATTCTGTGACTGCCCGAGGAATACCAGTTTGGAAAACACGGCTTTTCTGCTGCTTAACAGCTTCTGTAGGTTTTCAGTGTGGTTTATTGGAATAAACCACATGCATTCTACTTTCTCATTATATAGAAGGATTCTATCCTTTCATAGCAGTTTTAACACAGCACCGTAATGTAACAGAAGGTTACATTACAAAAGTAACCTCATTGTTGAAGACTAGTGAGTCTTCATGAGCTTTGATTTTTAGTTCAAGTCTTACCTCTGTCACTTTCCATGTGGATGGTTTTAGGCAAGTTATTTAATTTCTATGAAGTTTAGTTTCCTCATCTGTATAAAGGTCACTATTTAAGTCCCTACTGCAGGTAGAAACTCCCTCGATCGCATCCTCTGTGTGTGTGTCTGTATGTGAGTAACATATAGTAGACACTGGACATTCTTAGCGGTTATATCATAAGATCTTTGTGAATCTCCAAATACTTGAATGGCATCGGAACATATACATTTTTTCTCCATAAGGGAATTTTAAGTGACTACTGATGAGTTACTTTGTGTGTTATGAATAGAGAATAACAAAGCAGTATGAGAAGCAATAGCTGGGCAGCTATCCAGGGCCACTTACAATTTGAATGACTTGCTTCTGTCTGGCAGCCTCTGCACATGTACGGTTCACATATTTGCTTCAGCAAAATTGCACAGACTTTGAGGATTGCTTGGGAGTAGTGGAAGTTGCATATATTAAATCCACAAATGATAAGAATTAACTAATTAGCATATTAGGATTCACATTTTATATATGTAGTTTTATATTCTACTTTTCTCAATATGTATCACGAACATTTTTCTATGTATGTGTGTGTTTTTTAAAGGTACTGCAACAGCCACTTGCAGGTACTTGGCTTTATCCCGAAAAAAGAGAGGAAGAAAAAGAATGATCCTATAGATGAGGTAAAGGTCAGGCACCAGATGGATACCATGGCCTTTAGCCTGACGGTGCCCACATTGGCCTTGAAGATGCCCAATGGACTGGATGGAATGTCCCTCTCTCCACCAGGGGCAAGGGTCCCTCTCCACTACCTGGAAACTGAATTGGAAGATCCCTTTGCTTTCAACGAGGAAGATGATGACCTAAAGAAAGGGGCAACTGTGAAAAAGAAGTTGCAGAGCAAGTTGGCCCAGAACCGGCAGCGCCAGAGAGAGACAGAGATTTTAAAAGTTCGACAAGAGCACTTTAGTCCCCCTCCTGCACCTTCACAGCAGCCTCCTCCGCAGCAGCACTCCCACCTGTCACCTTTATCCACTTCTTTGAAACCTCCAGCGCCACCGCAGGGTTTAGTCTGCAAGTCACCTCAACCTCAGAACACCAGCCTACCAATGCAGGGAGTGGCCCCCACCACACACACGATAGCACAAGCAAGGCAGTTGTCTCACAAGAGGCCTCTGCCCCTCCTGCCATCCAGTAGGGCTCCTGTCGTGGACCCACCAAGGACTGACCGCGTCCTTATGAAAGCCACAGCCTTCTCTCCACACTTCTCTTGTATAAGTCGACTGCAGAGACTGGTGAAACTGTGCACCCAAAAACATCAGTTGGACACTGATCTGTTTCCCCATTTAGGTGAGTTATTATTGATTTTGCCATATCATATATGCGTAATACAACGAAGTGTGCACTTTTTCATGAGGCTTTATTTTAACAACTACCACCTAGCTCATAGAGGTAGAAGAACACTGGGACAGAATGTCCCAATGAAAGATTCTGTATATAGGTAGACCACCTTAAAGTAAGTATGCGACTGGAGAGGATAATAATTAGTGAAAAAGATACAGAAACAGAGGCTGGGAATTTAGAACTTGAGTCATAGTTTCTAGTAGTGTTAGTAGCAGCAGTATCCACAGCAGTATTGAAAGGTAGGTGTGTTTGGATGTATGCCTCCATGAGCTCAGTACCTGTGTGCCTAATGAACTTCTCTACGTGTCTTATTGTACAACTTTGGAATGATAGCATTATTATCTGCCAACAGTTTTTTTTTAAAAAACAACTTTTAAACTTCCCCAAACAGTACCTGTTTATGGTTTAAAGTGAAAAAGTACAGATAAAACTTTAGTATGGTCAAATGTCTGTCTTTCTTTTGTTGCTTCTGAGTTTTCTTTCTTACTCAAGAAAATCTCTCTGATCCCAAGTTTATACAGATATTCTACACTTTATATTAATAGTTTGATTGTTTTCTTTTTGGTCATTTAAACTTTTACTTCATTTGGAATTTATTCTTAGATGTGGTATGAGCTATGAGTCTGACTTTAGGGAAAATTATTTGTATGATATTTGACAGCAATAAAAATTGAGAAAAGGATGAGAATAGAGGAAGAAGAAATATAAATGGTCAATAAACAAATCAAAACCTCAATCCCCACAGCAGGTGGGGAAAGGCAAATTAAAATAACAGTGAATTATCAGATTGGCAAAAATTATATCCAGTTTGATGAGGACATGGGATCTTATTCATTGCTGGTGAGTAATGTGACAGTATCTGTTAACCAACAGTATACATATAGGTAGCAAACTCACTTTTGGGACTCTCTGAAATATAAAAATAATCGGAATGTAAGCATATGTGTTTAAAGATATTTATTGCAGCACTGCTTGTAGTATCAAAAATCTGTAAACAATCAATCTTTATAAGCAATAGGAAACCATGAATAAATTATTGTACATATATGTTTTATAAAGTATTATGCAGCTACTAAAAAGAATAAATGAAATCTATCTTTTACATGCTTGTGCCCATGATATGTTAACGAGTAGAAAAAGATGAGGCATTGTATTATCTTATTTTTGTAAAAATAAATAACTAAACAAGGGACATCAGTACATCCATTGATCAAGCACGTCAATAGCTGTTTGCCTGTTAGGTATGAATGAGCATAGGCAAAGAGCAAATGGGTGTACTCTACCAGGCTGTTAACATGGGCTTCCACACCGGGATGGAATCGGGCAGGATGTGTTTTTAAGGAGATGGGAGTGGTAAATCTTTTTATATAGCTTTATATTTTACCTTTTATTAAACCATGTATGACTTTGGTAATTACAAAAAAACTAATAAAACTTGAAATGCATAGATAAACAAAAATAATAAATTAAAACACCCCAAACTTTATTACTACGTATTTGTTAATACCCTGTTATATTCTTTCAGACATATAAAATTAGTTTCCGGGGGTGGCTCCATAGTATAGTGGTAGCACATCTGCTTTACATGCAGAAGGTCCTGGATTCGTGCCCCAGATGAAGCCACAGACCAGGCCCCAGGCCCCGGGTGCGACAGGCCCCCCAGGGGCTAGCCACAGCTTGTGGGAGGAGACACCCGACCTTCAGAGATCCAGTTCTTAAGGGGGAAGGCAACATCCATAGGTCAGAGGTGGAAGTAGGGGTGGGGGAATTAAAGAGAGGGAAAAAAAAATTGGTTTCCTGCTATGCCAACAGTTTTGTAGCCTGTTTTAAAATTTTTCGTAATGTATTATCAATTAGTAATTTTTCATATACAACATAATTTGCCACAGCTGAATACTTTAAGTCATTTTGTGTTTATATCATAAAGTGTTGTAGCTTTATAACCTTGCAGTAAAATAATTACTGTCACATTTTTAATTTCTCCTTCAAATAGATTCCTAGAAGCAGAATTTCCATTTCTAAGCTTTTGCAGTTTTAACAAAGATTTTCAATATGTGTTGACTTCAGAATTATTTTGTCAGTTTATCTTTTCAGCAGTGTATGAGAATGACAGCTTCTCTATATCTTTACAGCCCTGGATATTATATGATATTATTATTATTATTATTATTATTATTACAGCCCTGGATATTATATGATATTATTATTATTATTACTACTACTACTACTACTATTATTATTACTATTACTATTATTATTTTGCCTTTGCAAATTTGATAGAAATTTTGCTTTGATTTGCATACCTTACATCAGTTTTTCTCAAATTTTTGGCCTTAGAATCCCTTTACACTCTTAAAAATTGCTGAGGACATTGTATAGCTTTTGCATATGTGACTTATATTTATTGAATAATTACTGAATTAGAAGTTAAAACTGAGAAATTTAAAAAATGCTAATTCATTTAAAAATAAAAACAAACTCATTACATGTTAATGTGTTCTTTTTATGAAAAATAACTGTTTTCCCAAACAAAAACAAATATAATGTGAAGAGCAGCATTCTTTTGCATCGTTTTGCAAATCTTAATGTCTGATATACTAGAATACTACTAGATTCTCCTATTTGCTTCTACATTCAAACCGTAATGATATGTGATTTTGGTTAGTAAATGAAAATACAGCCTTACACATTTGTAGTTGGAAAAAGGAGGAATATTTTAATAGGTTTTTTTCCCTTCAAATAATCATGGATATTCTTATTTGATTCTACACCAAAATTTGACAAGTGGTAGTTTCTTGAAGATTAGTTACAATGTGGAATCTGAAACCATATCAAGGAATTTCGCATACTGTTACATTAAAATCCATTGATCTACTTTGTACTTTGAATGGATCTTTTACCCATGCAAGATTTGTAACATCACATGTTGGTCATTTGGAAAATACTAATATACTGAATTATATAGATGTTCCAAATGTTGACATATTTTCATTATATAAAAATTTAAAATTACATTCATTAATATTACCACCAATCTCATTAGAGTTGTCTGTTAGGAAGTTGTCATACTTTCAGTGATGATTTCAAGTTTTCCAAATTGAGCTTTCAAGTAAAAAGTTTTCCAAATTGAGCTTTCAAGTAAAAATTTGAATTTTATCATTGGCAACAAGTATTAACCATTGTTATTCTCGAAGCTGTGGTTTTACCATATTCATTTTAGAAAAAAAAAAAAGACTGCCAGTATCTAAGTTTTAATAACCATAGTGTCAGTCACTCTTTCAAATAAAAATGGTGTTGAATGGAAAAAAGCAGCTAGTTTAGGTCATAATTAAAACAGTCATGCAATTACTTTTCCTCAAGGCAACCATCATATTTTCTTTATATGCAACAGAGGTACTTTATGTATACTTCGCATTTAGTCATACAGAATATTACGAAGACATATACTCAAGAATTGAGATTTAATAAAATAAACAGTATTTAATAAACAAGTGCTTTATCAAAGACATTCTTAAAACTTTGTTCTGTTTTATTTCACTACAAGTCACGGTATGAAACATATAACTACTTGTATAGTTTGGTGCCACTGCCTTGATTCGTGCTAAGGTGCCAGCAGTATTACCCATTGTGGTTCTTTTTTTTTTTTCTTTACCATCAGTGTAAATGTCAACACAGTGAAAAAGGCAAATAATATCTTAGTATTATTTATTATTTCGAAGATAGTATTGACCTAAGGAACCCCTGAGAAAGTTTCAGGAACCCCTGGGGAATCTGTGGACCATACTTTGAATGAGAACTGCTATTTTGTATTAATAATGTAGTTTTTAATATTTGTTCATATGCTTTTTTTGGACATTTGTATTGTTTATTTTGTCTTTTGAATTTTTCATCTATTTTAATGAAGTGTTTCTCTTTTATAGTGATTTGTAAGAGCTTTTTATCCATCATGTCTGTTGCAACGCCTCTCCTTCCTCCCATTTGTTATTTGCTTTTAAATATTGTAATGATTTTGGAATTAAGCATTGTCTTTTTGTTGTTGTTGTTAACTGAAGCATGTTAAGGGCCCTACTTTTTAAAACAAAGGTTATTTTGGAGAAACCAGAAGTTGTAGTGTACTATTATGACCAAGCATAGTCTGCATTCATATCACCAAAGAATAAAAGAAAAATGCAGTATTCTAATAGCTTTTGTACTCCTGTCTGAGCTGGTTATCTCTCTTAGTTACATTAAAAGTAGTGATAGCCAAGATCAAAGGTTTGCTTTATTGGACAGTTAATTTCACAACAGGAGAAACACTTCCATTTTAGTTCTTATAACTTTGATCTTGACATTTTCAGAGAAAGTTTAGGTTCTTAGTAGAAAGTATTATAACTTCTACAAATAACTCATGTTCTAAATTTTGAAGGTGCCTTAAGTGTCACTTTGTGTTTGAAAGTCTTCACTTTTCAACATCCTGAAGCTGATGTTGTGATCACGTAATTGTTTTTTATTTAAAAAAACAAAAACAAAAACGTATCTTACTAATTATTTTAGTTGAGAGGAAGTAACTTACTTTTTAAGGTGACCCGACATTTTAGATAGTCATCTTGGAACTAGAGTTGAGGTTTCTTTATGCCAGCGGCGATGTGTTATTTAATTTTAAGAATTTATAATTTGCATTTCAGTTAACTTTTAAAAAATTTCCCTATCTGGCACATATGAACTCATTTGAATTATGGAAGGAATCTGTGAGGTCCTTTTTGGTATAACTGCATCTAATGATTTTTGAGCATCAGGAAGGAAGACATAGAATACTAGTTATCAAGGTCTCTCAGTTTCATAGCGATATGAGTATATTAAAGCTATGCAGTCCCACCACTGTCATATTTTAGGCCGTGCAATGTCAATATTTATCATGACTGCTTCAAGAGATAAAACTTCTGAAAAGGTGAAGCCTTTCTGTTGGAAGCTAACAATTATCCTATTAAAAATAATAGCATTTAACAAAATCAGTAAGCATTGTTCATAGTATGTTTCTCTACTTCTCCCTCTAAACTTGTTTTTCAAAATGGAACACAAAATGTGGCAGCTCTTGTATAAAAGAATTAAAAGAAACCTAAGAAACATCAGAAATAGAACATTGCCACCCTACCCTGTCTGTAAAAAGCAGCCCCCAAGGAGTGGCCCTGCCTGGTAGAGAGAGTCCTTTTCCCCAGAGGTGTTGGGCAGCGGGGGATGGAGTGTCTTTGCCTTTGACAGTTTGCTCTAGGGCCCTTTTGTGTTGAAGTATAGAGTGACTCCACTGGCACCTTTTGACTTTTTTCTTGCCTGAACTTATTTTCTCACCTTCTTGAATATTTTTATGTTTTTTTTCTGATGTTTTAGTGTATGATGTTTTGATACTTAAGAAAATCTTTTTGCTTTTTTTTTTTTTTTTTTTTTTACTTCGAACCCTGTCTATGTTGTTTCTACTCCATTAGTGACATATCTGACAAAAAAAGTTCATCCTTGGAATATAGCCCTTTTTCTTACAATGTCGTTATTTTAGGTCTGAGTATCTATCATACATTCATTATTAATATCTTTGTTAGACAGGGATGAAGCTCATCAGGAGGCATTATTCACACTATGATGGTACTTGCTAGAAGTGTTAGGTTATGTATTTTAGGTCACTTTCGATCTAAATTTTAAATAAAAGTAAATTTTTCTAACTTGAAATACCTTCTTATCTGTTCCAGGGTTGGACTGGTCTGAAGAAAGTGGAGAAGAACTGGAAGACTCAGAGCAGGCTTCGCCATACCAGGTTGCGTGGTCCATTCGAGAAACCCTCAGATATGAAAGACACATGTAAATCTTCTTTTTACTTTCATTCTTAAACTACCACTGTAGTAGATTTAATCCTTCGTATATATACACATACCATATATACATATATATCACATATAAATACCATTCTATTTTTTTTTATTGGATCCAGTGTTGTTGTAAAAGAGGTAAAGTAGATTCCACTTAGGAAGAAATGTACTATATTGTTTGAGGAAAGTTACTAAATTTTCTTGGTAAATTTGTTTCTGTACCTTTCTCATGATCATTGAAGGAAATAATTGTAGTAGAATTTAGAATTTTAGACCTTAGAGATGATCTGATCCCATTTTCTCATTTTACAGAAGAGAAAATCAAGGCCCAGATGGGTCAGAGAACTTGCATGGAGGGCTGGTTGGAGCCCTCTGTCTGACTGCTCCATGTCTTCTTTGGCTCTGTCTCCACAGGAGCTGGAAATAGTACTGTTAATTTCACCTTCTACAAGATCTATCCTTTTTTTAGTATTTTAATGTGCTGAATATTTCTAATGTGCTAAATGTTTTCAAGATAATCTCATTAAATGTTTTTGATATCTACCTTATCAGGAAGCTATAGATTAATTAATGCACAGCCCCTTCAATGATAGTGAGAAAGCCGGTTTTCTTTCAGTTGACTGCCTTAGCCTTTTAGGGATTCACTTGGTGCAGTGTGACATTACGGAGATAGAGCCTTATCTATGGACCAAAATATCACTCACAGACTCAGCTTATTATTTTTTAAAGAATATTGTGATTTGAATAGATGTTCAGCAAGATAGAGGGGAGATCAGCTATCTGCCCCAGGCCAACTCGTAGAATTTCACAGTTTGTGAAATGGACCTATGTTATAGGGTCTGGTTTTTTAATGTACAGGCTTAAAAATGTGATTTGTTAGTACAACCAAAGGTGTTAGGCTTAGGGAACTGATTCACTAGAAGACTATTCTATAAACCAAAATGCCAATTTACAGTGAGAAATATAATTATTAAGTAGTATAAATGTTCCCTCAGAAGATGTACCTGAGAAGCAAAGTATAATCAGAAGTTTATTTGGGCATGGAATTAAGAGCAAGGAGAATTAGTTGGATTTATTAATGGCCAATGTCATTAAATTCTAATAGCCTGATGCATCTCTTTCCACCCTTGGGATTTATCTCCCATATAGTTGTCCCTGCCTCTCCTGTCTCCTAGTTAGTACTAGAGAAGCTGTACTTTTTTCTCTCTCTCTGAGGTTCCATTTTATGTCATTCAAGACTGTTTCCTGACCATTAGCATATTCTTTCTGTCAGATAGAAGTGCAACTGAACTTAAGTTTTCTTACTTACAGATAATATCAATCATGCTCCTAAGGTTGATACTCATATCAGCTTAACTTGACTTGGGATATTTTAGGTTAATTTTAGAAATTTCTGTAAATGAGGTAACAAATACATGCTCAGCACAGTACCTGGTACATGGGAAATGATTGCTAAATGGTAGTTATGATTTCTATTTTTGTTTTCAAGGTGACCTGGACATCAGTATTGGGAGTATTTGCTTTATATTCTTGCAGAGTTTGCAGGATATTTCTTAAGCTGTTTTAAGCTTGTGACTATCCTTATTTTTCTTCTTCTCTGGCATTTTACTTTCTTGGCCACTTTTTCTAACTTGCTTCCTCTTTGACTTACCACAATATTCTGCTTTCTTGGTTCTTTTCCTTCAGTATATTTTTCTCCTTTTTATAAGCAGTTATCCTTATTTCTTGCCCAGCTCTCACTTTAATCTTTTCTCCTTCATTTTTATCTCTTCATTTATTTATTCACTCATTCAACATATTCTTGTTCAACTCTTATTATGGTCTAGGCATGGAGCACTCTATTCTTCTCTTGGATGAAACTGAGATTGAATTGGTTTACCATTCTATTTATTCTGCAACTTCACACCTGTATCTGCCACTGTGGCCTATCACAGGAACCTCTGTCCTATATTTTAAACTACTTATATATAGAACAGCTTTATTCCAGTGTCTTGTTGCAGCTGCCTGTCATTTATTGTACCTTATGCTTAAATATAATAGAAAATAACTGTAGAAGAAAGTTTGGTCTTGTTTTGGCAAAGGTCCCTTGGTTACTTAGTTTAGTTGTAGATGCGTATGCCCAAGTAGATCTCTCAGGCTTTTACTTATGTATCAGTAGCAGAAATAAGTTGGTATCTTTAAATGTGTTGTTAAGGAACAGTAATTACTGTCAGTAACTGCTTACCATTTCGTATTTCTAATGATGCCTTTGATAGAAAAAAGTTCTTGATATTAATGAGTACAATTTATTAGTCTTTTCCTTTATTGTTAGTATATTTGTGACCTGCTTAAGAAATCATTGCTTACCCAGGGCCATGAAGCAATTCTCTCATATCATCTTCTAGAATCCTTATTGTTTTACTGACAATCTTTATGGGATTTATTTTTGTATAGTTTATATATGATGTGAAGTAGGGACAAGGATCATTTTTTCCATGTGTATTTTCTGTGTAACCAACATTCTATTAAAAACAGTTTTTTTCCATTGCATTGGAACCCTTGACATATACGTGTATGTCTGTTTGTGCATTTTCTATTCTATTCCATTGGCCTGTTTGTCCTTGTGCCAGTACTACACTGCTAGATTCGGTTTGCTAATAATTTTTGCCTCTATGGCCATAAATGAGATTTTCTTATGAATTTTTCTTTTGTCATATTTGCTTTATTAGGTTTTGATGTCAAGCTTATGCTAGCCTTATTAAATGAGAATATTCCCTCTTTTCTGACATTAGGAATATATTGTGTATGATTAGAATTATTTTTCTCTGAATATTAATAGAACTCAGGAGTTTTCTATGCATGTTTAATAAGAGATTCAGTTTTAGTTAACAGAAAGAAGACTTCAGATATTCTGTTTCTCCTTGAATCAGTTTTGTAAGTAATGATTTTTTTTTTTTTTTAAATTTTCTTTTCAATTAAGATTTTAAATGTTTTGGCCTAAATTTTTTTATTATATAATTCTTTCTTTTTGATTTGTTATCTGTGGTTATAGCCTTCATTCCTAATATTATTACTTTTGTCTTTTTATTGCCTTGATCAATCTCACCAGAGGTTTTCTATTTTATTGGTGTTTTTAGAGAACCAGATTTGATTTTTCTCATCCATATATTTGTATCCATTATATATTTGTTTTTTATTTCATTGATTTTTGCTTCTGTGTTTATTTTATCTCCTACATTGTTTATGTTTATTCTGTTGTTGTTTTTCTAACTTCAGTAGTTAAATGTACATTTCTCTTTATCTTCTTTAGGATTTATTGGTATCTTTCATCAGTTCTGGTGTTTTTCTCAGCCATTATCTCATGAAATAATGCCTTTACCCCATTCTCTCTGTCTGTCTGTCTGTCTCTCTGTCTCTCCCCATTTCTCCTGAAAATCCATTTTGACATGTGATGCACCTTTTCATTCTGTCATCCATTTCTTTCATATTTTTTTCTTACCTTATCTCTTTGTACTGTATTCTGGGTAATTACTTTAAGTTTATCTTACATCTGTGTCTAATCTCCTGTTAGAGCCGTACATTGAATTTTAAACTTTAGTTATTATATATTCCATTTCTAGAACTTCTCTTTAGTTTTTGTTCACATCAACTTGCTATTTATTCGTATTCTTAAGCCTCTCTTTTATTTCTTGAAATATCTTACACATACTCATTGTATAGTCTATGTCTGATTGGTCCAGTATCTGAAATTAGCTGTCTCTTGTTTCTGCCAGCCCATACTCCAGGTGCCTTGTTTCCTTTTATGTTTGGTGAATACTTAAAAAGTATATTTTTTTGTCTAAAAAAGAGAGTAGGCAGTGGTTAAACTTGGGAGACATTTATTTACTTCCCCACATCCCCAATTATTGATACATAGCTAAATTTTATATCTCCTCGGGAAAACATAGTACTACTGAGTGACTGTTACATCCTATGGAGAACTTCAGTCATTGGTCACAGTGTTAAAAAGATCCTGGTCCCACAAGCTCTCTTTGAAATGACCTATAAAATTTCTTTTGAACATTAAAGTTCCTAAAGAAAAATTGTCTGTGAAAATTTTTTTAACTCTGAGATGAAAGTGGATTCCCCCAGAGAGGATTTATGTTTGCTTCTTTAAAGTACTTGAAACACTACCAGTCTGAGACCATTCTTTTTTTTTATTTTTTATTTTTTACTTATTTATTTTTTTTACACCTACAGCACCTGGTCTTCCTAGGTGGTCTCCCATCCAAGTACTAATCAGGCCCAACCCTGCTTAGCTTCCGAGATCAGACAGGATCGGGCGTGTTCAGGGTGGCATGGCTGTAGACCCATTCTTTTTTTAAAGTGGTAAAATATATATAATATAAAAGTTACCATTTCAAGCATTTTTTAAGTGTACATTTCAGTGGCATTAAGTACATTCACATTGTTGTGCAACCATCGCCACTATCCATCTTAAAACTTTTTCATCTTGAACGGAAACTATACCCATTAAACAAAAACTTCCCATTCCTCCCTCTTCCCAAGCTCCTGGCAACTACCTTTATACTTTCTGTCTCTATGAATTTGACTACTCTAGATACCTCATATAAGTAGGATTATACAGTAATTGTCCTTTTCTGCATGGTTTATTTTACTTAGTATAAACATTTTCAGGATTCATTCATGTAACATGTATCTCTTGAGATGATGTAGTTTTTTTTGTCCTAATATGGTCTATAACTTTGATTTTCATACGTTGAATTCAGTTTTTATTTCTTGGATAAATCCCATTGTGGTATATAAACCTTTTGACATCCTGCTGGATTTGGATTGTTTGTATTTTGTTAAAAACTTTGCATCCGTATTCATAAGGGATATCAGCTCGTAGTTTTCTTTCTTTGTGATGTCTTTGTTTTACTTTGGTATTGGGGTGATACTGGCCTGATAGAGTTGGGAAGTGTTTCCTTTTCCTTTTTTTTTTTTTTTGAAGAATTTGTGATTGATTAGTGGTAATTCTTTAAACATTTGGTATAATTCACCAGCGAAGCCATCAGATTAGGGGGCTTTTCTTTGTGGGAAGTTTTTGATTACTAATTCAATCTCTTTACTTGTTTAAAGATTTCTTCAGATTTTGTTTTTTTCTTGAGTGAAAGTCAGAAGCTTGTGTCTCTCTAGGAACTTGTTCATTTTATCTTTATTATCTAATTTATTGGCATACAGCTTTTATAATAGTTCCTTATAATCTTTTTTTTATAAGACAGGTAGTAATGTACCTGCTTTCAATCCTAATTTTGGTAATTAGAGTCCTCTCTTACTGGTTAGTTGAGCTTTAAGGGTTGTCAATTTTGTTGATCATTTCGAAGAACCAGTTTTTGGTTTCATTGATTTATCTCTATTATACTTTTTCTATTCTTTTTTCATTTATTTCTTTCCTAGTCTATTTATTTCTTTCTGCTTGTTTTGGGTTTAGTTTTCTCTTCCTCTAATTTCTTAAGGTGGAATGTTAGGTTGTTTATGTGGTATCTTTCTGTTTTAGAAAAAAATGTAGGAGATTATAGCTACAAATTTCTTTCCAAGCTTCATCATGAGATAAAAGAAAAGATATATTGATCTCTGTCCCTAGTTCCTGACACAGGGCTCCTAAAACCCTTGTAAATTTCTAAGTTATGAGAGTACTAGTAGCATCTCTTTTTCTTATGAGGCGACTCTACATGGGCTCCTGGGTGGCTCCTGAATGGGTGCTGGTCACCAGAAAGACCAAGCAATCATTAGAAGCTTGGAAGTTTTAGCTCCACTCCCAATCCTCCAGAAAGGGTTGAGGGGATGGAAATGGAGTTAACAATTGATCATGCCTGTGTGAGGAAGCTTCCATAAAATCCCAGCAGTGGGAGGTTTGGAGAGCTTCTGGGTTGGAGCTTCTGGGAGGGTGCCGGGAGACTGGTGTACCCCTTCCTATGAACCTTGCTTTACACATTTCTTTCATCTGGATATTCATCTGTATCCTTTAATAAACTGGTAAGTGTAAGTAAGTTTCCCTAAGTTCTGTGAGCTTCTCTAGCAAACTAATCAAACCTGAAGGAGGGGGTCATGGAAACCTCCAACGTATAGGCAAACTAGACAGAAGTTGTGGGTAATCTTGGGACCCACCACTTGTGATTGGCATCTGAAGTAGGGTGGGAGAAGTCTTGTGGGACAGAGCTGTGGGATCTGATGCTATCTCCAGATATAGGTAGTGTTAGAATTGAGTTAAATCGTGGGACACTAAGCTAGTATCACAGATAATTGCTTGGTGTGGGGTAAAACTTCCACACATTAGGTGACCAGAAATGTTTTGTGTCAGTAGTAAATGAGACTCATAGAAAAGAAACACAGTAGGGAAGAACTGGATTTTTCCCTACTCAGGAAGGAAAAATTTGAGTTTTCCTTTTATATTCGTCAATAAGTTATAGTACCTGTATCATTTTCACTTATCTCGAAATATTTTCTATTTTCTCTTGTGATTTATATTTTCACTCATTGATTATTTAGGAGTATGTTATTTAATTTACACATATTAATGAAGTTCTCAAATTTCCTATAGTTATTGATTTCTAATTTTCTCTGTCATCTTTAGAAACTTTGTAGGTTTAACTTTAGCTTTAATATTTAGGTCTATAACCCATCAAATTTTTGGTGTAGCGTGGTTGGGGTCGAGGTTCATTCTTTTATATAAATGGATATTTAGTTGTTCCAGTGCTATTTGTTAAAAATACCTTTCATTTTCCATTCAAATGCTTTGACACCTTTGTCAAGAATTAATCAACTAAATAAATGTGAACTTATTTCTGAACCGTTCTGTTCCATTAATTAAATTTTAGGCTACTTCGTCTCTCTTACTGTAGTTTTAAAGTAAGTTTAGAAATTCAGGAGTCCCCAACTCCTGGGCCTTGCACTGGTACTGGCCAGTGTCCTATAAGGAACCAGGCCGCCGCATAGCAGGAGGTGAGTGGTGAGTGGATGGGTGAGCGAGGGCGGAAACAAATCTTCATCTGTATTTGCAGCCGCTCCCCAGTGCTAGCATCACCCTCTCAGCTCCACCTCGGATCATTAGGCATTAGATTCTCATAGGTTGGGGACCGCTGTTCATTAGTTTGAATCCTACAACTTAGGTTTTTGGGTTTTTTTTTCATATTTTGACTATTCTGGGTACTTTGTATTTCCACAGAAATCTTATCATTGTCACTGTTTGCAAACTAGCCAATTATGATTTTGTTTTTTTATTATAAATCAGTTGGTGGAGAATTTATATTTTAACAAAAGTAAGTCTTCCAATCCATGAATATGGGATACTGCTCTAGTTTAGGTCTTCAGAATTTTTTTGCTTACTATTTGGAATGAAGATCATGCACATCTTTTATTATATTTATTATGAAGTATTTTGTTTTTGATGCTGTTGTAAACTGAGTTGTAAATTTATTTTTCATTTGTTTTCTGCTTATGTAGAAATAAAGTTTATTGTTAGATTGATCTTTAGTTAATATATACTGCAATTTTGATACATTTACTTATTCTAGTTTTTTTTGTAAATTCTTTTGATTTTTTTTTTTTTTTTTTTGCAGAAAATCATGTCATCTGTGAATACAAACTGTTTTACTTATGCCTTTTGTTGCTTTTTCGGCCTTATTGCATTGGCTAAGACTTTCGATAAAATATCAAATAGAAATAGTGAAGATGGACATAATTGTCTTGTTTCCTTTTTAGGGGTAAAATATCCATGAAATTTTGGTTTAAAATAATTTTATATATATATATATGGATTACATTTATTTTCAGATTTACTGATCATTTCTGTTTGTCTTTTATTGTTTTCTTATCTTTTTAAATCCATCCTTTAAACATTTCATACATAACTTTTATATTCAGTATCTTATAATTCCAACCTTTGGAGTCTTTCCTTGTAAGTCTATATCTGCCATTTATTATTTTTTCTTTTTGTCGTACAAAGTGGCTTACCTTTTCCTGTGCATGGTAATTTTAATTTTTTAGGTCCTAGACTTATCCTAGAATCTTAGGTTAAGCTACTTCATCTTGTTGGGATGAGATTTTATATCCACTGTTAGTGCTTCTATCATCATGTGCTCTGAGTGCAGCCCATTTACCCCTTTGTTCCCTGCTTCCAACTTTAGCTTCAATTTTATTTTTTTAAATGTTTATTTGCTTTTTTTTTTTTTTTTTTGACTAAGCAGTTTGAGAAAAATTTCCTCTACTTCCTTTGAGACCAAAAATGCATGCATAAGTAATCTTATCTTGTATGTAGGTCCCCAACCTTTTTGGCACCAGGGACCAGTGCTCCTATGAGAATCTAATGCCTGATGATCTGAGGTGGAGCTGAGGCGGTGATGCTAGTGCTGGGGAGTGGCTGCAAATATAGATGAAGCTTCACTTGCTTGCCACCGCTCACTTCCTGCTGTGCGACCTAGTTCTTAACAGTTGACCAACGGGTACCAGTCCACAGCCCCAGGGTTGGGGACCCCTGCCTTAGGGTATCTAAATTGCCATATTGCCATAAGTCTTTTATTTGTTGTTGTTGTTGTTGTTGTTGTTGTTTGTTGTTTCAATTGTTATCTCTATGTGAATAACTCCCAAATCTTTTTCTCTTGTCTGATCTTTCTTTTGAGTTTGAACTACCTATCAAATAATTCTCTTTGAATATTCTGCCAATACCCTAAATTCAGCATTTCTAAATTAAACTCATTATTTTTCTGAATATGTGTGCCTCTAATATGTGTGCCTCTTTTTGACTCCCCTATTTTTATCAGAGATGTTAGCGTTTTGCTCTTATTTTAATAAAGTAAATTAAAATGAATGTTATTTTGAGAGCTTCTTGTCATACCTTGAGGTGACAGATAAATAAACCTGAAGTCTTAGGGAATCAGGTTTGGACTTTACTGCTTATATTTGGAATTATTAGTAGCATTTTAATAATAATAATACCTGTGCTGATATTGTGATTTCACATGTTATTTTCTTTCATTCTGTTAACAGCCTTAGGGGATAGGCAAACCAGCTAGCTTTATCTCTAATTTCTCAGATGAGGAAACTTAAGGAAACTAAAACATACTGAGAATGCAGTAGGTGCCAGGCCTTGTCAGCTGCTGGTAAATGATGAATATCGGCCTTTTTCTTCATAGTTTGCTACTTTTCCTCAGCAACCAGGTTTGAAATATTAACGTCATAGCATCTTAGAAATGGGAGACATCTTGGAGATTTCCTGTTTTAGGGCTATGCCACCTATGGTCTGTGGACCTTTGCCAGTCTGCAAACTTCTGATTACTGGCCCACAGCAAGATAAGTATGGAAATTATGAATAAGCATTGAAAACTTTCATAATGGTGTGGAATCCAGGTGCATCTTTCCATAGTTAACTTGAGAACCACTGAGCTAGGCTATTCCTCCTTCTAGTAATAGTCTTTTCAAATAACAATTTTAGCAAGTGATTTACCCATCTTAGCTTTACTTTCCTTTAAAGTCTTACTATTTCTCCTCTTCTTCCTTTATTAATGGCACTTCCATTCTCCTAGCTCTGCAGATTCAAAGTTATTGAGTCATTATTGACTTTCTTATCTTTCATATCCAGTTACCAAATTGAGTTAATTCTTTAATGATAATTGCCCTTATATGTCTAGTTCTTTCTATTATCTCTGTGGTCTTCTACTTTCAGTCACTCCCTTGTCGTTCAGTTGTTAGTTGCTGACTCTGAAACCTGTATCTCTTCCCTAAATATGTTCCAGTTTATCGTTTCCAACGGTTTTTCCACCTTCCCTTTGATACCTCATCTGTTCTTTAAATTCCCTAGGTCTGAAATGGAATTTATTTCCTGCCCCAGATCTGCTCTTGCTCCTGTTCCCTGGTCTTTCCTGATGGAAACTGTTATGTGGTAAACTGTCCCTTTCATTTCCTTGGCCACCCGACAGAGTCAGCCTTGTACATGCCCCTTACTTCTCACCCTGGTCCTGCTGCTGCCACCCTGGTGCGGCCCCTTGTTATCTCGTACCTGCAGTTGTACAATTCCTCGCTTTCTCTTCTTCCATCTCTTCCTCCGCTTATAGCTTCTGACAGTATCTTCTTTCTTATACACAGCTCTATTACTATTACTTCTTTTCTTAAAAATCTACAAGGTTCTTTATTGTATGTGGTGTTCAGGTTTAGGAAGTTTGCCTTACCCTACCTACTCCACACCTTAGCTAAGTCGAGCTACTTAGTACTGGCTGTTCCCCATCCTGTTCATCCATGTATCTTAGCTCATGTTATTTTATCCTTGTGAGGTACCCTTTGAGCTTTCATAGCACTTTTTCTGTACTTATGTCACTTATTATCGTCTAAGTCACATTAAAGTTATTTATAGCACTTACGGCTCTAACTGGAACTCTCAAATGAAGATCTGCTGTTGGACTTGGGGGAACAATTCAAATTAAAGATTTCTGGGCCTCATCCCATGGAAACTCTTGTTCAGTAGATCTTGTGGTAGGTCTTGGGAATCTGAAATTTTAAAAAGCTCCCAGGTATTTCTTTTGAGATCAGCTATTTGAATCATTGGTTTGTCTGCCCCTACAGTTTTAGTTACTAATTCCATTCTCTTTTGAATTGCTTAACTTTTGGGATGCGTTTATCCTGTCTAAATTGCATTACAAACTCCTTGAAATGTTTTGTCTCTCCTCTACAGTACTTAACATAATAGACATACAGTAACTATTGAGTGTTGAATAAATGAAAAGATAGTGTAAGATCCTTCAGTTGGTATATCGGTAGTAGAATGCATATTAAAGAGAACATATTTCTTAGGACATATGCTAAATGGAAGTTTACAGAGTAGCCTGTTAGTGGGCTATGCTGAAGGAAAAAGGAGGCATACCCCCTAAGAAGAGAAATCAAGCAATGATTTATAGAAGATTAGAAAATATATAGTTTATAGTGTCACAGTTGTGTTATATATTTGTTACGATAGAAGAGAAATAAGTTAAAATAACATGGTTCAGTTTTTAAATCTATTGTGCATTATTCGTAACAGTAAAAAGTGAGATCATATTTGTTCAATAGAAAAGTGACCTTTCCAACCTCACTGATGGTGGACATTGCTAACTAACCACAGCACTCTCTCATTTTGAACCTAGATGTGCCTTAAGTATCCTTTTCAATGGAGCACTCTAGCAGGGGCCACCAATCAATTAACATTAGTGTAATGACAGAAAAAATTCTGGTATATGAAATGTTGTTTAGGATATCTCCTGTAGTTTAAAAGAAAAAAAAAATCTGTAAAATGATTGTGATCCCTACAATCAAACTTCTTTAAGTGCTTTGCAAGAAAAAAAATGGTTAAAAATCGGTACATCTAAAAGGACAGCTCTTTGATAATGCGCTGTTAGAATTCACTGCTCTGTTTCTGGTATGACCTACCTGTCTTTTATGAAATTATGCTGAGTGTTAACTTAAAACTGCCATGTCATTTGCTCAGACTTTCTTTAAGTAAAGGTAAAGAAAATATATTGTTTCTAAGAATTCCTAGTCATTTAAAATTTAGAAGACACTAATGCATCATCTGATTATGACATGCTAACAATAACAAGGTTAAGCTTCTTAAAGCATTGGTTTGTTTCTACCGCCTTACTTATTGCTGAAACATTGTGCTTATTTTTCAGCTCTACTGGACTTCTCTTCCTCTAGTTTTGTTGTGTGCTCACATGCTACAAGTTTTAACCGTGAGCATCCAGCCACTCTACCTGCCCTGCTTTTCCTCATGTTTAATCAATTGTTCACTTCTCTCTCTGCACCTTCCAGGTCAGATGATGATGATACGGAGAGTAGGAGCGCCAGGGTGACCCAACTTTGCACTTACTTTCAGCAGAAATATAAGCACCTCTGCCGCCTGGAGCGGGCAGAATCTCGTCAAAAGAAATGCCGGCACACGTTTAGGAAAGCCTTGCTGCAGGCGGCCAGCAGAGAGCCAGAGTGTACTGGTCAGTTAATACAAGAGCTGCAGAGAGCTGCATGCAGTCAAACCAGGTTAGAGCCCTCCACAGTCCCTGTTTCTAAGACGCTTGTCTTAGTCTGTTTTCTGTCTCTTTTGAGAAGGTAGTTGAGTCAACAAGAGCGGTGGGCTTTTAAGCATGAAATATTTATGCATTGTATTTTGGTTTTGTTGCTCAGACAGAGTTCTACATGGGTGGCAAACTAATACTGCCATGAACTGACAGTAAAATTAAAGCATTACTGTAATTTAGCTAGAGTTTGTTGAGAATTTATTCAGTAAAGGACTAGAGAGTGTTTTACCTGTCTTTTAAAAAAATACAATGCTTAGAAATTTATGTTATTTAAAAGTAACATTTAGTTCTTTTACTTCAGAGGTAGCATTTTACATTTTTACTTACATTATTTTATAGTATTCTTTCAAATATGTTTTCTTTTAACATATACATTATCACCCATGTTGTGTTCAAAATATTTTATTATGTTGAATTTCTTTTGAGGAAAAATTCCTCTGTTTATAGTTCCAATACTTGCTTATTATGAAAAAGTTTTTAAATAATAGAAAAAAGAAGGTGGAAATCTCCATAATATCACCATTCACAAAATAGTAAGAACACTGTGAACATTTTGATCTGTTTCCTTCTAGTCTTTTTCTATGTGTGAGTATGTGAGTTGTGTGTGTATGTGAAGTCTCCAGTGAGCCATGTGTTTGTATTAAAAAGCAAAATCGAGATCATGCTATATGTATTTTTTATTTCCTACTTTTTTCCCTGTTTAACACTGAATTATGATCATTTTTTATGATATTATTTTAAATGACTTTTAATGGTTTCATAATACAGATGTCAATCCGTAGACTTTTTCTGTTTTATGTATGTAATTAAGCAAAGTTGGATCTGACTGTTTATGTGTTCATTTTTTTTTCCCTTAAAAATATATAGTCTAGGGCCATGCTACCCTGAACAAGCCCAATCCCATCTGATCTCGGAAGCTAAACAGGGTCGGGCTTGGTTAGTACTTGTATGGGAGACCACCTAGGAAGACTAGGTGCTGTAGCTGTAAAAAATAAAAAAAAAATAAGGGATTGTAAGCTGACAAGATTCATGCAGTCTGTGAGGTCAACCAAGGGTTGCCTTGCCTAGATAGATAGATAGATAGATAGATAGATAGATAATAAATACACACACACACACACACACACACACACACACACACATCATAGCCATTCCCCTATGGTCTTAAAGATTGTTTTGAAAACATGATTTATAATTTTTACATAATATTTTATTGAATGAAAATTCATATATTGGAAATGTAGGATTAGCTGATATATCAATGAAAACATTATAGTATATTACCATTTTTGGAAGTTTGTTTAGTGAAAACTTAAATCATAATTACTTAGATTATGTACCTTTTGAAAATACTAGCTTAATTGAATTGAAAATTTCCCAAACATCTTGTTTAAAGAAATAATTTTCAAGTTTAGAAGGCTTAGTTCTGTAATGAGTTTATTATTTCATGCTTTTTTACTTATATTTACAGGTAACCTTGAATATATATATATATATAGTATATAACATTTTAAAAATTATATATCTATATATTAGCAGTGGTTATCTCTAGATGGTGGGATTACTGATAAATTAAAGTTTAAAAAATTTTATAGTATATATATTCTAATTTTTCTGTAGTGGTTAGAGTCACTTGAGAGGAAAAAGGGTTTAAAACAAAACTAAAAATAACCTGTGCTTTGTAGCTATTGATCATATTTCTTATATTCCTATATATTTTTTGAAATTTCATTTTAGTTTTGTATCTTTTGGTTTTCATTATATTTTCTGTAAAAAAGTAACCTCTTTTTCAATTCGTATCTATTGACTATAGTTAGGTCCCCCTATTATATATGCTTATTGTGCTCTGTATTCTGCTTCACTGTACAATTTTATACTTTTCATTAATATATGTCTGTCAGGCCAGACAGTAATTTGTATGAGAGCAGGAACAATGTACATTTTGTTCTTAAATCACCAGTGTTGTTGAACAAATGAATAGAATTGAACAAGAGAAGAGCCATCTGTTCTCTATTTGTTGAAAAAAATCTACTCAGTTTGACATAGTTTTTAAAATAATATCTAAAATTTATATAATGCTTTCAAGTGTATAATTTCAACAGAAACCTTAAGTTCTGTCCAGCATGAAGCAATATATATGTAGAGAATTGTATATGTTGAGTCTAGTATATTATTATGACCTTGTCAAATATATAAGGGACTATAATGAGTTTGGGACAATTTAGTATTTGTGTGGAAAACTATATTTATCTATGGTTTTTAACTGGTAGAATCAACCCCTCCCTTTTGAGAACATCTCCTAAATTAACCTTTAGTGATTTTTTAAAAAGTTGTATGATAACGAAGTATCACAAAACAAATACCAAGATGAACTCTATTATAGTTCTCAAATTTATTTGATGTCATTTAGTTATGTCACCCATGATTAGTAAAAAAAATTACTGCCCAGTATATCACTGATAATCATATAACCATGTGCCACAATCACTCCCTGGCATTGGTAGCTTACTATTTTGCATTATATTTTACGTTCACAATAAAAGCTGTCAGTTGGATAATGCCCTCTGTCTATTTGATATTTTTACTAATAAAGACTAGTTAGTTCCACAAAAGACATTTTAGAAGTTGCTGTTAAACATTTTAGAAATTTGAACTTCAATGACTACCTTTTAATAGCTATTTTTTAAAATATAGTTTGGATATAAACTGAATAACGTTAAAGAATTCTTTCTTACCTCTTTGTCATATTTTTTTGGAGAATATATGGAATAAGCCATTGAAATAGCTTTAAAGTACGTAAACCCAAATCTAAGTATCTTGTAGTGGACAGTCCTACAGAAACTAGTGTTGTTTGTGTGGAAATTTCATCATTATTGGGGGATCTCATAGGGCATACCAAAGGGAAGATTACAGTTGACGTTTTCATATTAAAAAAAAACCATCAAAATGTTATGGTAAAAGTCTCCCTTTGTTCTGTTGGGATTATTTGGATAAATAAAATGTATCTAATAGATCAGGCATTTTTATTTTAATTATCCATTAAGGGGATATGGAATTTCTGACTTTGGGCTTATTTTTAAAGATAGATTGGTGAGTTGGAACATATTGGTGATTTAAAAAAAAAACGAAACCAATGGTGTCCCTTGAAGTCTAGGGTAAAGAAAATGAGGGGACACATTGTGCACTAGGTTTAGTAGGTGGCTGAGCGAATTATTCAGTGAATTTATTCACCCAATATAGAGGGCTTATTTAAATCTAGACTAAGAGAATCTGGGCTTAGCTGCCAAAATAGTACATTTCATTTATTTGAAAGTTTATATCATTTTTACAGAGCTAAAGTTAATGACCCACTTCCCCACTCTTGTGATCCTGACAAACCTTGCAGAACTCTTAATTAAAGCAACTTCTGTGGCAGCACAGCACCTGGTTTTCTATTTGCATTTACTGTTTATGTGAGAGTTATAAAGGAAAAATTCATTTATTTAGATTTTGTGTAAAATCATATGTAATTTAGATTCTCTATGACTTTCTCTATCTAATGTCACTCCATTAAAATCCCTAGAAAGATACTAGACATACATAATTTAAAAGATATTTTATTTTTGATGCCTAACTTGTGACTCAGTGAATTAAGTAGATTCTTTGTCTGTACTCTGACATGTGTAAAGGCTTAATAGTCGTGATATTTTATAGTCACATAGGTAGGATAGTTTTTTGTATTATTAAGAATTCAAGTATTTTTAATTTTTTTTTTATGTTTGTATAACACTGTGGAAGGATACACAAACTAATAAAATGAATACTTGTTATAGAGGGAGTGGGAACTGACAAATCAGGACAAGGATAGCTTTCTTTGATTTTTTTTTGGAACCACATGACTATATTGCCTATTCAGAAAAATTTAAAATAAGATTAAAAAATTTAAATATTAAATATACAAAGTGGAGGTAGCATTTAATGAAAGATGGAGTTGCACATATAATAGAAAGTCAAAAAAAAAATTGCTCAGAGTAAGTGCATTTTGGAAGATGAGAGCATCAGCCATTTCTGTATCATCTTCCTCATGTTTTAGATCAAGTTTTTTATAGAATGACTTTAGCAGCTTTACATGATCGAAATTCAGTGGTGATGATAATGCAATAACTGTTAACCATTGGCTGTTTACTATGTACCATACTGTATACTGTATATGGTAAGTGTTTTAGATGTATTATCTTATCTCTTATCTCCCCTTTACAGGTGAGTATGTTAAGGCTTAAGCAAGGCTAAGTAACTTGCCCAAGGTCACACAGCTAGTGAGAGAAAGCTAATTTTCAGAACTGGGTCTGACTGATTTAGTCTCCTGTTCTTCATCACTACTATCTCTTTGTGAAGTAAAAGGAACAAGAATATCACTTAAAAAAAAGAGGCATAGTTGAAACTAATTATAATGTTAATTATTTGTTTTGCAGACGGGAAATATAGGAACTGGTCATTGTAACCCATATTTACATTTTGTTTAATGAATACAAAGAGGTAAAATGTTGGTATTACATTGTGGCAACACAGTGGTGAAAAAATGCCCTGGATTCTTAAAGCGTTTAAAAAAAATTTTTTTTTCCTCCTTTTTTAGCATAAGCCGGACCAAGTTGAGGGAGGTGGAAGCAGCAGCATGTAGTGGAACAGTGAAGGGTGAACAGTGCACTAACAAAGCCCTTCCATTCACCAGACATTGTTTCCAGCGTATCCTCTTGACTTTTAAAATCATAACTATTTAGTGTTTAAAATAATTTTTATATGACTTCTAATTTTCATACTGTCCTCTGAATAATTTTTTCTACTTATATTGTTGTCGTTCTTTATTCAAGAATCGTATCAAAATAAGCAAAATTGACAGCCAGGAGCAGGTTCTTCCAGTATGTCACTTAATTAAATTTTGTTAACAGAATTCCCATCTTCTGAGGGTTCTAGGTAGTGTGTAAGCAGCAGCTATAACAATCAGTGATGGAAAAATCAAATCATATTATTCAAAAACTGTTTTTAGCCTTCCAAGAAAGTTATACAGTTTGACAGTATGCCTTTTGTTGTGGGTTTAATTTGCTGTTTGTATTGAGTACAGAGCCCATTTAAGATGAATGAAAGGTCAGTATTACTGACTAGGTAAGAAGGTCTCTTAAGACAGAATATACTTGAGGAAAGCCTATATTAAAGGGCGGTAGGCCAGTTATGAACTCTTACTACTCTCACTTTTATTAAACATTTATAATTGAGTAGCATTTTAAAAATTTATATAGTAACAATTACTCTTCTTTACTAATCTGCTTGACTTTTGCCCTCCTTTCTGTTCTTGGAGTTGTATTTTTACAACTATTTCAGCAGCAATAAAGGCTTTATAAAGGGTCAACTATAAAAGCATAAAGGCAAAACAGAGAGATATTTTCTTAATAGATAAAAAGTAAATTTGGGGGAAATGTAGTTACTGGCTAAAAGTATGGATGCTTAAAAATGTAGATGATGTAAAGTTGATGTTCCAATTTTAATAGTGTAGTTTCGGTTTAAAAGTCATTTTTCGTAAGTTGTAAGTTTGAGTTTGGTGTTGGAAATGAGACGTGCAACATCCAAATTTGGGTAGATGAGTTTTTTAGAATTAGATCTTTAAATTTTTATTCTTTTTGATGAGTATCATATGCAGAAGTTTTCCTTAAAGTTGAGTTTTGTGGAGTTTTTTTTTTTTTTAACCATTATAGTGGAACTTTTAGGACTTAGTGTGTTAAGAAGAAATTGACTGCTTCTCCAAATAATGGAAAATCAGAATGACCATAAAAGAGACCCATGTTTAGGACCCTCTTAGTAAAACAGACCCTGTATCTGAGTATTTTCTGATAAATAACGATGATAAAACTATTATCATTTTTTCATATCAGATGCCAGGTTGGTTCTTTAGCTTTTATAGATAGTAGCATTTTATACTTTACTAACACAAGTAAGGGAAGAAGAAAACTTTTAATAAAAATTAAACAATTAAATAGAGTTTCAGTATATTTTATTCTTAACTTAAAAAAAAAAAAAAAAAGATATCCTAAATTCAGCAGCTCTTCTCAAGCTGCACGGCCAAGTTTGCAGATGGACAGCAGTGCTCTGTGCCTGTGTTTGACATCACACACCAGACACCTCTGTGTGAAGAACATGCCAAAAAAATGGTAAGTTCAAATTTTATTTCTGCAACATAGGCTTTCAAACTTTTGATAGTTATCCGTAGGAGGAAGTATTTTGTGACTCAGTACAAACTGTGTATGTATAAATCACTGAAAAAAGTTTTATGAAATAGTACTTTTAGTATCTAAAACTTTCTAGACTGTTCTGTTCTATTTTTAAAAAATTGCTGATCATAACCCACTGAATTAATTTCATACCTTCATTTAAAAAAATAACACTGTTTTAATAGTTACTTAAATATGGTTATTCTGTTTATTATCTATTCCCTTTCTATATCTCTGTTCTCCTTAGAATGTGTTTTCTTATACATAGCAGATTTCCCAAGTTCACTTTTGCCCCATTTCACTCTAGGGTTTTTTGTTTTTGTTTTTGTTTTTTTACAATTCTGTGAATGTCTTAGATAGTTGATAAAATGTTGGCCAAAAGCCAAACCTTTCTGTAATTCTACTGAACTTAATTATCGATTTTCTTAGTACTAATATCATGAGCCCAAATTAATTCAGAATAATTTGGAGGAGAGACAAGTAAGTCTGAATTAGTAAACTATTTTAATTATATAGTTATTTAAAATGAATACATTTTTATTGTTTCACCCATCAGACACTTATTGAGTTCTTCTGCTGTTTGCAAGATATATGTACTAAAAAATTGAGTAAGACAGTTTGTTCCCACAGTAAGCATTTTATAGTTCTCAGGGGTGTATCAGTGTCACTGAATGGCCATTGGGTCAGGATCTAATAGTTTAAGGTTTTGATCCTGGCATTGCCACCAGCTAAATGTTTAACAAGGACTAATAATCCATTTTTTCTGGACCTCATTTCCTTGTATTTAGTTCACTGGCTTCTTTTAATTTCCCATATGGGCCATATCTTTTGAAAATTTGTATACTAAACTACATATACAGATGTTGAATAATTATTTTCCCATTTTAGTTTAAAAACATTTAAAATTTAGACATTTTTGTTAGCGTATTCAGACTTTATCGTGATTGAAGAATGATTTTTATGTTTTTGAACCACTTTTGTGGACCTTCATTGATGATTTCACAGACGTTTGGTAATATGGGCACTGCATCTTTCAAATCACTGAGGTAAATGATCTCGGTTGTATATTTTGATTTTAAAGTTACACTGTTCAGCATACTTCTAAGACAACTAGGAAAATATTATTAAATAGGGAGGCAATACTTTTGCCTTGAAAGAAATTGAAAGCAGTTTATTTTTTTCAGCTGATTAAATATTCCTGCTTAGGCAGATTCAGCTAGGGAAACAGGTTGAATTAGCAAAATATAATTAGTCATAAAATAATATTAATCAGGGTTTTAAGTGGTATTTACAATTCAAAGTTTTGAAAATGTTTTTTTTTCCTGAACATAATTATAGAATCTGACACTAGTTTAAGCTATTTTTGTTTTAAGTTAAAAATTACAAAAGTATATGGCAAACACTTGTACCCCATCAGTCCCTCACTGTGAGAGATTTATACTGGGTGATAAAAACTCTGTAAATCTCTTGGCTCTACTTGCAAACTATATCTTAAATCCAAATATATTTTACCAACTTCACTGCTACCATCTTAGACTTAGCTACCATCATCAAAAAAAAAAAGGTTTCCTTTCTTCTTGCCAACACCCAGGTGTGTTTTTCACATTCTAGCCAGAGTAGGTTTTGAGTATGTCTCACTTTCTTTGAATTTACGTGCAGTAAAGTTCACTCTTTTTGGTGTACAGTTCTGAGTTTTGACAGTGAATACAGTCATATAACCACCACCATAATTAAGATATAGAACAGTTGCATCACCCACCAAAATTCTCTTGTTCTATCCCTTTATAATCAACCGTTTCCTCTGTCACCACTGATCTGTTTCTGTTCAGATAATTTATATTTTCTGGAGCGTCTTATAAATGGCATCATATAATATGTAGCCTTTATAGCAGGCCTTTTAGAATATGCATCTGATCATTTTAGTCCCCTGATCAAAATCCATCACATTGAAAATTAAATCTAAAATTCTTAAACATGGCCTATGAGCCACTTCCTGATCTGGCCCTTGCAACTTCTCTAGCTTCATCTTAAACCCTCTCGTCACTTCTGGTGTTCCAAGCAACATTAGTGAACATTTTAATATTTCCACCTCAGGAGCTTTGCATTTAGTTTTCTCCTTTCCTAGAATGTTCTCCCAGATTTCTATATGCATCACATCTTCATTTCTTCAGATTTCTGATCCAATGTCACTTCATCAAATAAATCTGCCTCCCTTCTATCCTGTTACTTTTTATCTTCATTCTACCCTGTTTTTCTTCCTCATATTTTTACCTGCCAAATATTAAATTATTTATTAATTTCTTTGTTTATTGCTTGTATCCCTCTACTAGAATGTGAACTTCACAAAGGCAGGAACTATTTCTGTTCATTGCTGTATCCCCAGTGCTTAGAACAAGGATGCTCAATAAGTAATTGGTTATTGAATACATTAACTGTTAGGCACATAGCTGGGAGGGGTTGAGATTCAGAACTAGGCTTGGACACTGGCTAGGGCTGCAGAAAGTCCAGGCTGGCAGGCAGAACATGGTATTCAATAAATATGATGCTCCATACAACAGATGGCAAGTTAGTCCCGTGCATTGTCCTGACGTATAAGTAGACAGTGAGAAAGTTGAGCGTGAATAGTGTTTGTGATAGTGTGAGTAAATGAACAGTCTACATTAGGAAAGCCTCTAGGATATTGGGCTCTAGCTCTCTGGAAGAGCTAAATGAGGGACTGCCAAGAGCAAAGCAGGGCCTCAGTCATGGGCAGTTCTGTGTGGTGTATGTGGCACATTACCAAAAATGATGCTGGGCTACGAGGCTTAGGACCAGAACTAGGTGATGCTGGGAGTCTTACAAATCGGACTTGTGTAGGTTGGGTTAGAGCTCTCTAGCTTCCTTTTGCCTCAGATCTGCACTGGACCTAGAGAGAAAGCCTGAAATAGATGCTTTCTCCCCATGTCACTACCCAACTAGTGGGTACTGTAGTTGCTCAGTCACAATTTGTCAAATAATGGACATGGTAGTAGACCTCAAGTGTCGAGCTGAAAGAACTTAGAAGCAGCCTCTTTTTTTGTTGTTTTATAAATATGTGTGTTTTGACTTGAGCCCGTAATTATGTTTGGATTTAAGTATTTGGGATTAAACTTTTAGTAAAAGATTTCCTGAAAATGCTTCAATTTTATTCTTGTTTTGAATTCATTCAATGCTAGCGATAGTTATTAGTCTTCAAATACTGTTTTCTATACTCTTTATGTATTTAATTGAGTTATTACTGAATCATTCAAATCAAAGGTGACATTATTTGTAAAAACCAGCTTCTCTCCTTTGTGATTATTTGTCATTTGGTTTTTGCTCTGCCAAAAAAAAAAAATTGTGGTCAGTTCTTCAATAATGAATGTTTGTTTCACTAATAACAATTTTATACCCTGCTACTCTTTGTGCCTTTCTGCATACACAACAGTTTTCCCTCTACACGTAAAACCAATAATGCATATACCTTAATTCCAACGATGACAGTACAAAGAGCTGCGACCAACTTCGAGCATGGGTGCACAGTGCCAACTATAATGACCATCACCTGGCTGACAGCAGTTATAAGACTCCATTATTGTAAAATGCTCCCCAACTGCAAAGATACTAAAATGTATATCTTGGAATTGATGAAATACAGCATTCACATTTCAGGATGCTACCAAAAAAAGCTAGTTATATTGTCAATTTCTTCTTCCTTTGCCTACTCACTTAACTGCAGCAGTTTTATAAAGCTATGTCCTTATCGTCTTCTCTCTTTACCTTTTCTGCTTGGTCCATGTCAGTTACTAAAAGGACTTTTACTATGTCATTCCTGTGCACCAGGTACAGTTTTCTTCTACCTCCTGGGCATCCTGATATCTCAGACTGTATGTGAGCCAAACTGAATTCCTTTTCTTCTGAATCTATTTATTCTGCTGTGTTCTCTATCCCAACTAATGGTTTCATCATCTAACAATTACACAAACTAGAAACCCTAGAGACATTTTAGAGTTTTTCTTTTTCCCTTTTTTAAATTTTATTTTTTATTTTTCAGTTATAGTTGGCAAACAATACTATATTAGTTTCATGTATAAACATAGTGATTTGACATCTCTATAATCCACAAAGTGATCACCCCAGTAAACCTAGTGCCCCTCTGACACCATATATAGTTATTACAATATTATTGGCTATATTTCTTATGCTATACTTTCTATCTCCATGACTATTTTGTACTACCAATTTGTACTTCTTAATCCCTTCCCCCTTTTTCATCAAACCTCCCAACGCCCCTCCCGATAACCCTCAAAATGTTCTCTGTAACTATGAGCTTGTTTCTATTTGTTTGTTTATTTTGTTCCTTAGATTAAACAGATATGTGCAATCATATGGCATTTGTCTTCCTCGAGGGATCTGATTTACTCCACTCAGCACACAACCCCTTAGGTCCATCATGAAATATGTTTTTTCATCTTCTTGCTTTTAGTCTGTGTTTGTCTTTTGATTTGAAGTCTCTTGTAGGCAGAATATATGAGGGTCTTGTTTTCTTATCTATTCAGCCACCCTATCTTTTGACTAGAGCATTTGATTCTTTTTCATTTGGAATACTTGTTGATAGATATGTAGTTATGGCTATTCTTTATTTAGACTTTTGATACATATTTTTTCTTCTTCTTAAATCCCTCCAGTATTTCCTGTGATACTGGCTTGGTAGCAATGAACTCTTTTAGCTTTTTCTTGTCTGGGAAGCTCTTTAATTGTCCTTCGATTCTAAATGATAACTTTGCTGGGTAAAGTAATCTTGGTTGTAGATCCTGGGTTTTTATCACTTTGAATATTTTGTGCCAAGCTTTTCTGGCCTGTAAAGTTTCTATTGAGAAATCTACTGACAGTCTTACGGGCCTTCTCTTGTAGGTAACTAATTGCTTTTCTCTTGCTGCTTTTAAGATTCTCTCTTTGAATTTAACCTTGGGCATTTTAATTATGATATGTCTTGGTGTGGGCCTCTTTGTATTTATCTTGTTTGGGACTCTCAGAACTTCCTGGGGTTGTATGTCCATTTCCCTCACCAAGTTAGGGAAGTTTTCCATCATTATTTTTTCAAATCGGTTTTCAGTTCCTTGCTCTCTCTCTCTCCTCCTCCTGATACCCCTATGATGAAAATACCGGTATGCTTGACCTTGTCCCAGAGGCTTCTTAAACTATCTTCATTTGGGGGGATTCTTTTTTCTTGTTGCTGATTGAGTGTCCTCTGCTTCCCTATCCTTTATGTTGCTGACTCAATCCTGCGTTTCATCCATTCTGTTGATTCCCTCTAATGTACACTTTATCTAGATATTATATTCTTCATTTCTGACTGGCTCCCTATTATATGTTCCACCTCCATCTTTATGCTTTTTATCTCTTCGTTAAAGTTCTCACTGAGTTCATCTACTCTTCCTCTAAGTTCCTTGAGCATCCTTGTAACCAGTGTTTTGAACTCTGCATCTGGTATATTGCTTGTCTCCATTTTGGTGAATTCTTTTTCTGGAACTTTCATGTTTCTTTGTCTCTCCATTTTGGCTACCTTCCTGTGTCTGTTCCTATGTACTAGGTAGGGCTACTAAGTCCACTGGTCTTAATAGAGTGGCTTTATGTAGTAGGTGTCCTGTAGGGCCCCTTGGCACAGACCTGAGAGGGGTCCAGTTGTAGGCCAAGTTCAGCCACAGTCTGTGCACCTCTGGGGCCACCTGGTAAGAGTCACCAAGCAATCCACTTAGGGCTGCCACCCGTGTTGGTTTTATAGGTGCCTCGAGGGGCCAAGTCAGAAAAGGAGGCCAGCTGCCACTGGTGCAGGGCTTGGGGCTGCTCAGTAAAAGGTACAGGGCATGCTGAGGCCAGATGCTGCTGCTTTGGCTTTTGTGAGCCTTTGAGAGATTTTACAAAAGTTCACATCATGAACCAAGACAGCCCCTTTGGAATAAATCACTGGAAGCAGCTTGGGTTGGCCCACAGGTTGGCAGAGGCTGAGTCTCAGGGAGTTCTTTGGGCGGAGTGACCTGTATTATCCAGGTTGATGGCATCTGCATCTGTAGGCTGGGAGAGCTCAACAAAGGAACAATGGCTTCTGCCTGTACCTCTGTCTGGGTGCAAGCTGCCCCTCCAGCCCTTGCCCTGAAGCCTGATAGCTCAGCACCTCCCTTTATGTCCCTGGTGCCCCTCAAGCAGCTGCCCCAGCGACGGAGTCTGTCAGAGTAATGCCAGGCGTGGGCCCTTTAAGAGGAAGGTCTCCACTTCTTGCAGCCTCCATCCATCTCACTCAGCCGTAACCTTCCATAGCCAGAAGTTGTGGAGACTTCTCTTCCTGGCACTGGAACCCTGGGCTGGGAAGCCCAGTGTGGAGCCGGGACCCCTTGCTCCTTAGGTGGGGGAGATGGCTCTGCAGCTGAGACAGCCCTCCTGATTCTCAATCGCCACACACAATTGTGGGACCGGGCCATTTTACGTCTCTGCTCCTTGTACCATTTTGAGGTGACCTGTTATTTGAAGTGACCTAGTTGTAGGGCTTCTGTTCAGCCATACCTCTGGCATCTCCATGTACTGGTTACTCTAGTTTTGTTACAATTTTGGTGTGGTCACTAGAAGAGGCATGTACAGCCTCTACATTGTACGCCATCTTGAATCTCTCCCTGTAGAGTTTTATATTCTCTTCATCCTCACCACATCCAAGGAGCTGTCAAATCATGAGAATTCTACCTGGCAGACCTTGGCTTTTCTATCCCCACTCACCCTGTCCTTAGCCATTTATCTTATATCTACTGTTGAAGTAGCTCTTTGGTTGGAATTGTTGCCTCCAACACTTAGAGCTATCAATATACATTGCTACCAGGGTAGTTAATCCTTTTAAAACATTTGTCAAGTCTGGCTACTTACTTCTCTTATCAAAAATCATTCCCCTTTTGCCTATAAGTTTAAAATCCTTAACATGGTATTCAAAGTCATACATGGTCTCTCCGGTCCCAAATTTCTTTACAGCTTACTTTTATATTTTATCCTCCATTATGCCCCAAGCACCAGTCAAACCCAGTTATTTGCTATTGTTTTTGTCTGGTTTATGCCATTTTCTTTAGCCTAAAATAAGTCTTCTCTCCGCTCCCAGTGACTTAAAATCCTACTTATCCTTTAATCTCACAAAACTAAAGATAATAGATTATCCTTTTATGTGCCCATACAATGTGTTTACATCACTATTGACCAGTTTTCTCTGCACTGTACTTATGTATATTTCGATTCACGTTTTTCCCATGGGAGAGTAAATTCTTTGAGAGTGCAAATTAAATTTTCTTCATTTTTTTATACTATAGCACCTATTTCAGTGCCTTTAATTGTGGGATGAACTATATGTATGTATTGAATTGATTTAAGTTAAACAGAAAATGAGTTTTTATTTGCTTATTGTTATACATAGTTTTACATATACAGTATGTTTTAGTCATTAAAAAATAATATTAAGAGATACAAGAATATAAGAGATACAGGTATTTTTTTAGGCAGCTGTTATGTTTTTTCCAAATAATCTCAGTTAAAAAATATCCATTTATTCATTCCAAAGGATAATTTCTTGAGAGGAGATAGCTCCCGTAAAGTTCAGCACCAGCAGCAGAGGAAACCCAGGAAAAAAACAAAGCCTCCTGCACTTACCAAAAAACACAAGAAGAAGAGAAGGCGTGGCCCTCGTCGACCCCAAAAACCCATTCCCCCTGCAGTACCCCAAGGGAACCTCAGCATGCCCACCAGCGTCTCACTGCCCGTGGAGGCCTCTCGCATCCGGTCAGTGACGGCACCAGAGTTTACGTTTCCTTTGCGTGTTCTTGTCATTCTCAACATCTAGTTTCATTTACTTTTCTAGTGTTGGAGCTAGGCTACAGAAGCCATTCAGTATATCAATCTTAACTTTGTAGTTTTCAGTACAACTTTTACCAAATATCTGACTGGGTTAGATCTGAAATAAAGCTTGTGGTTAAAATGAGAGCACATGTTGAAATTGAGAATTTAATTGTCTACTATCAGATTTTTCTGTTTTAACAGAAATTCCATATATGTTCCAACAAATATTTCATCATAAATCTGATACATCGTTAATTTTGGAAAGGGTAAGCATTTTGACCAGATGAATGAGGCTAAACATTTTCATGTTGGTTTATTTCATTTTTTAAAATCATTATGTTGACCAGATTTGAAATTCTATAAAAAGTATTAAGACACCTTTGCTACACCAAACTGTAATTTATTCTAAGTGAAAGTATTATCTGGAAATGGTTGTCTGAATAGATGAGTAAAGGTTGCGGAAATATGTGACTGCTTATGGTGAGATCTGTCTTTTTGCTTTCAAATTTCCTTAAATTCGGAAAAGAGACATTTTGAGTTAAGATTCCGCATTTTCATGTTTACAACCTTGCCTTGGTGACTTTGGTGTGAAGGTAAAAGGGAAGTAAGTGGTGGGGCCAACCATGTCATCCTCCCCAGGAGCCCATCCACGCCAGAGCTGAGCGCTGATGAGTTGCCGGATGACATTGCCAATGAGATCACTGACATTCCACATGACTTGGAATTGAACCAGGAGGACTTTTCAGATGTCCTGCCTCGGCTCCCTGATGACTTACAGGATTTTGATTTTTTTGAAGGTATGGTCAATATTGTGATTCAAGAAAACAGTTTTAAAATGAGTTCTTTAAAAGGGAAATAGTGTTTTGAGATGTATATTCTTCTTCACATGTAATGTCTTTCACTGTAGAAGGAAAATTTTATGTGGCTAAAGTTATTTTACCCTTTCCAGAAGGTAAGGAATGTGCAACTGGTTTCATCATATCCTAGGCTTAGTAGATTGATAGTTTGATAGCTAGGTTTATAACCTGATTCCTTTAAAATGAGTAATTTTACTTCAGTTTATTTTTAAGCAAAGACATTTCAAATTTGAGTTTATTGAAGGCTTTTAGAACTTGTCCTGATTTTAATGCCCTACAGTATACTTCAGTTGAGGTAGACTTTTCCAAACCAAATTTTGCTTAATCCCCCCAATTCAGGGGGGATTAAGTGCTTTCAGGGGAAATGTATATAATATATACTCTTAAGAATGTTCCTTTCACTATTAAAAGCCAAACATTTTTGTGTTGATTAATCAAGTTCCTAACAGTAGATTTTTTTATATTAGAAATGAACTCAATGTAGGCCCATAGGCTTTCATTTTATGAAAATCAGTTAGAAATTAGAGAAGAATGAGAGGGAAGGATTAGAGAGTAATGCAACAGCATTTAAAAAGATGACATATGAAATGAGCTGAGTGGTTAGTATTGTGCTAAAATATATGTATGAATTTCTGCATCCTAGTCTTCCACAGCTGCCCCTCCAGCAGAAAGAGACTAAGAGTAGAATACCTTGGTGGTCTCCTCCTACATGGCCTTTTGTCTAAAATCTAAACCAATAAGATAGGTTTTCTATTTTCATGACTTTAACTTTAGGTAAAAACATATGTGTATTCGAGTAGTCACCATAAATTTTAAATTGGCAGTCCTCAGAATCCCTAAGAATCCCTCACGTCAATAAGATAGTTTTTGAGAGAACTGTAAGTAAACCAAAGATGGGGTACAAACTCTAGGGCGGCTTGGTATTTCAGACCTGTCCTGCAGATTAATATTTCCCCTTTTCTTTCCAATCCAATCCTTGGATGCTTCTCTTTTCAACAGGGCTTCTCTTTAATAGAATAGTGTTAAAAAATAATTCAAATGTATGTTTTTTGTGGTAAGGGACAGGTAAAAGCTCCGCTGATTGTCGATGGCTTTTGTTTACTCAGGAAAGAATGGAGACCTCCTCCCAACTACCGAAGAGGCAGAGGAACTTGAACGGGCTTTGCAGGCTGTAACTTCTCTCGAGTGCCTGAGTACCATGGGGGTACTTTCCCAGTCAGATGGCGTGCCGGTCCAGGAGTTGTCAGATCGAGGAATAGGGGTGTTCTCCGCAGGTACTGGAGCTTCGGGAATTCAGTCCTTGAGCCGAGAAGTAAACACGGACCTAGGGGAGCTGTTGAATGGGCGCATAGTACACGACAATTTTTCTAGTCTAGAGCTGGATGAGAACCTGCTCCGTTCTGCTACCTTGTCTAACCCACCTACACCCCTGGCAGGGCAGATCCAAGGGCAGTTCTCTGCCCCAGCCAACGTTGGCCTTACTTCTGCCACTCTGATCAGCCAGAGTGCACTTGGGGAGAGAGCCTTCCCAGGACAGTTTCATGGACTTCATGATGGCAGCCATGCCTCCCAGAGGCCACATCCTGCCCAGCTGCTGAGCAAGGCAGATGACCTAATCACCTCACGACAGCAATACAGCAGTGATCATTCACACTCCTCGCCCCATGGAAGCCATTATGATAGTGAGCACGTGCCGTCTCCCTATAGTGACCATATCACCTCTCCCCACACAACATCTTTCTCTGGTGATAACATGGCAGCTACCTTTTCAGCAGAGATGCCCATCATGGCGCAACACTTGCTCCCAACCCAACTTGAGGTGCCACTTGGAGGAGTCGTAAACCCCAGAACTCACTGGGGCAATCTCCCTGTCAACCTTGGAGAGCCCTCTCCATTTAGCAACCTTCTTGACGCAGATGGACATCTTCTTTCCACTTCCCTATCCACGCCACCCACCACTTCGAACTCAGAGACCACACAGCCTGCCTTCGCCACCGTGACCCCCAGCAGCTCCAGTGTGCTTCCGGGGTTACCGCAGACCAGCTTCAGTGGCATGGGGCCTTCTGCTGAACTAATGGCCTCCACCTCTCCCAAGCAGCAACTCCCTCAGTTCAGCGCAGCCTTCGGCCACCAGCTGAGTTCTCACAGTGGCATTCCTAAGGACCTGCAGCCCAGCCACAGCTCTATAGCCCCTCCTACAGGCTTCACAGTAACAGGTGCCACAGCTACAAGTACCAATAATGCATCTTCTCCCTTTACCTCCCCTAACTGAGCGTGTCTGTGTGTTTGCAGGCAGGTGGGGAACCTGGTGTTTTCTATCTTTGTTTCCTCTTTATCACCCCTTTCCCCTTTTCCTAAAGAAGATTTTAAAAATAACAGATGGAGACTAGAGGGGAACTCCCTTTTCCAGTTAAACAGGTTACCCTGCAGTGGACCGCGCTTCAGTGTTCACGTGTGCTCCTTTGCACTGGTGCTCATTCCCTCCTGGCAGGTTCACTCTACCCTGATGGCTTCCTTAGTGGCTCAGCACAGTGACTGGATAGAATTGACTTTTAGCAGCAAGTCCTAGAAGTGGAAGATACCTCAGATTACCAGTGCCCTTTACTATTTCCTAGTATTCAGATCAATGCTTTCCATTCTATTACCAGGTCTTTACGTAGGTGGTTCTAGATAGAGTGATCCTATTCATTGAATCCCTCTGTGTAAGACGTAGCAAATGGTGTGGAGAGGCAGGTCGAGGCTCTGACTTAGCACCAACTGCTAAGTACCACACGAGGCCAGGATTCCATTCCTAATTGTGATCATGTTTAATTAAAAAGAAAAAAAATTAGTCTTTTGACTGCCTGTGTGTATGTGTGCGCCCACGTGTGTGTTTTTGTGCAGGGCAGGAAGCAGCTGTCCCATTGTTATTTTTTTTTCCTAATGAGTAAGGCTCTTCTCCTTTCCCACATCTCACAACCCTAATAAGTTGGTCATTCTTTCCCACTGAGTTAACTGAGTTTCCTGAAAAGAGAGGGGATAGTCTGGTCTCATGATGAACAGCTCAACCCTTTTCTGCTAAGTTAGCCAGGAACACAAAAGGCTGAATTCATATCAGTGCTGTGGGGATGTCGTAAAAAGCTTGCCTGGAGTGACTGCAGAGTTGCTGAGATTCCGAGGTCTGGTGGTTATATTGCCTTTTTAGACATGCATTTGTTCCTAAATTTCTTTGTCATGGAATACATTCGCAAGATGTAATTAGAGAAAATATTTTGATGTGAAAAGCGGGATAGGTCAGATAGATTTGGAAAGATGCGATCTGTGAACTTCTTGATCCATCTTTTGCTTTTTAACTTTTCATGTTTACAGTAGTGATTCTTTGGTAAGATTTGTAAAATGTTGAAGACACTTGTAGAATCAATGTACCAGTTGTGAAGTGATAAGTAATATCTGAAGGATACACATATTAAAGTTTCTTTCAAAGCCGATTTTGGAAATGAGACATAAATTTTACCCACTGTTTGGTACTTTTAAAATAATTTAAGTACTTAGGTTTAAGTTTGGGGAAATTGTTTGAAAGTACCAGGATTTTAAGGTTAAAAATCATACTGAGTAGTCTAGTAAGTTGGTGACTATGAAATGAATATGTGAGTTTTCTTTTTACCTGCCTTCTCCCCTGCCCCTTCCCCTCCCCCCAGAAGGGTGGAACTAGATTTTAAAGGCATCTGTACTCTGCTTTTGCTGAGACGGTTCACTGTTCCCTGAGATACCATTGGCTATTTATACCTGAGTCTAGTCTAATTTACATATATATATTTTAAAAGATGAGTAGAGAGAACGTATCTATTAATGATATGATATAATGATTCATTTGTCAGGGAATAGTTGATCTTAATTCCTTTTCAATAGGTAAAGATTTGGATGTATTTTCCTACTTCCTATATGTATTCTCTTTATGCCATGCTAATTCTAACCAGTCCCTTTTTTGAAAGCTTTTCTTTCTCTGCTTTTTAAAGGAATGATGGTGATCAGCAGGCATTATGCAGATACCACGTGCCTGAGATTATGGAGGGGAAATGTCATATGACTGTATGAAATCATTATATGCCCTATTTTGTATTTATTGAAGTTTCTTTTTGTGGGCCAAAAATATGTTTGTAATATATTTAGGTTTTTTTTAATCATGATAATTGATTGGAAGATTTATTTTTAATAGCTTTGCCTTTTTTGCAGATTGAGAATTTTCTAAATTATAAATTATGTCACAAAGCAGTTATATTTGGTATCACCATAAATTTCTATTCTGAACGGTGAGAACAGATAATTTGAATATTTCTCACCCGTGAACCTGTTAGTCAGCTTTTTTATTTTAATGTACTATAATGAAATGATTATGATTAGTTACCTCTGCTCAAAAGTGTCATTTAGTTTGCTAACCTCTTCACACCCCATTGTAATCATCATTAGAGAACTGTCCATTCCCAGCAACTTGATTTAGTCTCCGCTGTGTCCTAATTAACCATTGTAGCAGAGCAGCACATCAGCTTTCTTATCAGCCCTTCTTTGACAGCAAAGGGAAAGTCACGGGTAGTCGATCTGAACTTTTATGGCTATTTGTCCCTCGTGGTAGCTGCTTAAAATTCTTCAGTTATCAAAACTGAGTTTGCAGTAAGTTGCACATTTTATTGTTTGCAATTTTCTGTTTTATGTGCATTTAAAAGCCCTTTTCTGCTTTCTGGTAAGGAGGCAAGAAATGATCAGGAATGTTGCCAGTTAAAGCTTCACACCAAAAACTTTGAGTAAATTCATTTTTCTTTAGATGTCCATGGTGATAGCTGAAGAAAGGGCACCCATAGAAAGTACCGGTATAAACTTGAGGAATTAGTAAAAAACAAAATTTCTTCTCATCTACTTCAAAACGAATATCTGAGCTTGCAGTTTGCTTTGCTCTTGCTGTTTCTTGAGTCCCTTTTTGGAAGAAAGAACATCTGTGAACCCAGAGATATCCGTTATGTTTTTCTTTTACCTAATGGAGCAATTCTATTAGTAGTAGGTTTGCTGTTAATATGTAAAGAAAGTAATGAAGTGTCTTTTACTCCAGAAATATGAAAATTAGTGTCTTTTAAAATAGCACTTACTTTATAATAAGGCAATACTGGAATCAAAATCAAGTTTTATAAAAGGTCCTAATTAGGTGGAAACTAGCTGGTAGTCTAGTGTTAAACTCATGAGAAGCAGTGGCAAAGAAGGTTCACTTTTTTCTGCAGTTCTTTGGGACCATTTATAAAGGCCAGTTAGATTATGTTAATGTGATTTAATTTACAAAGTGGCTGCAGTTAGTGGATACATTCTGTGTTCTGAGAATTTGAATTCCATTCTAATGTATGATATTCATTTGCTGTGATCTGTAGCATCTGCAGAAAAGATATGTTTTCTCTCTCTACATAATTGTTAATATTATTTTAATTAAAGTACTTATGACATTGTTCTTTCCTCTGTTAAAAATGGCTTAGCAATTTGCACATCTGGGTAGGTTATATAGCTAGTAAACAATTCACAATAGTTAATAGCAATTACACGTAACCCACCAAGTGAGAGACTATGCAATGAAATAATTTTCTAATTATCGTCGCATAGCTTATATGGCAAAGGATTGTTTTCTCTAGTAGCCTACCATGTGAGAGATGACTGCTTTATAAATGACTCCCCAAGCAATTTCATGTTCGCAGGCAGTGTGATGTGTCTGTTGTCGCTCCATGAAGATGATAATTTAATGAGAAGCAAATAGTATGGAGGTAAAGTTGGAAACTTTTTTTTCTTTTCCGTAAGATTATAGTTACTTCTTTAGTGTTAAGGCTAAAGAAAGCTAATACATTATCTTTGCCAAATAATTCTTTATAAGAATTATTTCTTAAATAAGCCCAATCTCAACTGCAAGTTAGGAACCATCATTTTCTGTGACTAACACTAAAGCTTTTGCTAATCTGAGTTTATTCTCAATCCATGATGACAAATCCAAAGAAGCAAAGAAGGGAAGAAATGATGTCTGTGATACACACTGGTGCCCTATCAGTACAATATTCTTCTTATGTGAAAGAATTTCTATTTCTCTTGACCTGTACCATTCAGTTTTTATCAATCGGCACTAGAATTCGAGCATATGTAGGGAACTCCCATGCTGTCAGTTCATTGGTACTTGCTTGCCATCCTTCCCGTGCCCTTGCTTCATTGGGATAGTGATGATGGTTGGTAGGCTTCATCAGCAGTATTTGTATGAGGCAATTAATTGCCTTTTCTCCAAGTTAGTTCAATAGGTCGTTATGGATTGGTATGGTAAAAAGATGAGGGTATTAATAACACTAATTCATTTAAAATGTTTTTAGATGTCTAGTTTCTATTTTCCTTATCCTCTTTTAACCTTTTAAAATTCTATTAAATTCTATTTTTAATCTGGTATATATAGAATAGTGTAATGGTCTTCTAAATGGTCAGCAAAACTCTGCAGTTTATTGAGGCAATTTAAAGGATTCCTAGAAAGAAAATGTAGTCCTACTGAATAGTCTTCATTTGTATCTCTTTCATCATCAACACCTACATTGCTCCAAGGATTTTTTTCCTCACAAGAAATGTATTTCTTGGGGATGGAGTGGGGGATGGGAATATATATGTGACAGAACATAGTTCCCCCCCTCCCCTTTTCAGTACAGTGAAAACAATTGAATCTTCACAGAATAATAATAGAAAAATAATTGAATCTTACCTCTCTATAGAAAGGTAGAACAATTTAATGACTCTTAGTATCTTAAACTTTATAAACTTTCCAATATATTCTGGAGGGAACCAAAATCCATGTTTAGTTGATTAAAGTAACATTGTAAATGCTGTCTTTCAAAAGATTTGTGATAAAATACCAGTGAAGAACATATTCATTTTCCCTTGACCAGCAAGTTAGGAAAGAAAACAAAACATAAATGAATAGTTATGTCTCTCGTAGTAACCAGTGTCATAAATGCAAAGATTGTGGGTCAGATTTAGAGAGCCTTATTTCTAAATAGCAAAATTTCTCTTTTCACTCCAGCTCCTATTTTTCGTTAGTTTTCCTCTCTCTGCCCTGTGATACAAAGCTAATGACAGGAAATGAGGCATTTCAGAGAGAGAGAGCGAGCAGTTTTGGTATGACTTTCTTTATCCCAGGTTCCTGGATCTTGGGAACGTTTGGCAGAGTTTTTGGTGATTTAAATAAAGTTTAGTCTGACAAGCAGTCTTAAAAGAGAAAACCTGTCTAACTCTTAGTCAGCTATGTAGGGCAGCAGCACAGTTTCCCTTGCTTTTTCCCTTCCGCCTGCTTGCTCAGCCCACCTCTAGTCCCGAAGTACGCATACGCGCACACATGATCTGTGCAGATCCTGGCCTAAGAGTAATAGAATCCTCTTCTTTCACTTTTGTTTGTTCGTTTGTTTTTGTTTGTTTGTTTTAAGCTGGGGACCACTGAAGTAAGCTCTGTATGCACCCAAAGTTCCCCTTGGAAAAATTTTCAACATGCAGTGCAGAAGGCTCCAGTGCAGCTAAATGCCACACCATTGCTTTTACTTGGGGAATAGACTGATTTGCCCTGAAATGACTCCACCTGCATCGTTAAGGTACAGTGGGCTCCAGCGGATTAGTGTGGAAGTGATGGGAAGTTTGATACTCGTGACACTGTCTTCATCTGCTGGGAAGGGTTGAATCAGTTCCTCTCAACAGTGATAGTTCTTTTCACTGTATAGTGTTGAGTATGTCTCAGGGATTCCTTGTGGAAATTAGGGCAGTTTTTAAAATAAGACAATAGTTTTCAAGAAACTAAAGGTGACTCATCATTGAAGAGAGCGCAAGAAAGAGAAAACATTTGGTTTCGTAGCCCACAGTGTCTTGCATAGGACTTTTTTCCTTTCTCCTTCAGCTTCTCATCTCAGCTTCAGCATACAGAATCCTTTCCCATGCACAGCTTTAAAACTTTTATTTAAAAATCTCCTTCCCCAATGAGCTTTCAGAATACTTATTGTAGATTTTAAGAGAAAAGGTATATTAATTTATGCTATTAACATCACCTCATAAATTATAAGTTTTATACTAAAGCTGTATTGAGTGTAATGAATTATGTTGCCTATGTGTTTAATAGCTAAAAAATTATATATGAGCTTTTTTTTTTTTTTTTTTTTTTTGACAAAACAAACTAGTGAAGCACCTTTTTACACTGGATCTCTGCCGTGTCAAGGTGTATAGCTATCCTTTGCTACCTTGCAGATATATAAAATAAAAGGATATCCTGGGGCCTCAAAATGTAGAACACCTTTAGACCATTTATTATGACTCATAGAACTGTTGAGAATCATGTTTCTTTAGTAAATGATCTGTGGTTTACACTTAAGATGGCTAGAAGCTTAGTTACAGGGTAAATAGAAATACATAGATCAAGTAAAATTCCCAACTACTGTAGCTGGAATTTGTAAGCTAAGTTTTTAAGACCTCTTTTATTTCCTATGGATTTATTCTTTAATTTACAGTTGATTCTGTAAGTTGGGAAGTAAAATAGAGAAAATAAATCTAGATGTTCTCAGTGTCTTATTCAGGAACCTTTTTATCCCTCCTCACTAAGGAATTCCCACTGTGACTTAAAAATAGAATTAAATTACTTGTGTGCATGTATATATTTGTGTTTTTACACACATGCAAAAATATACATTGGGGGCACGTGTGTGAGAGAGATGAATGTGTGCTTCAGTAAAAATAGAAAAAGGTAACAGAATGTATTGTAGAAATACGATTTCTTTAGTTGAGGGTATTGGAGTTACTTTCTTATTGTCTCTGTTGTATAAATACACCAAATTCTTCATCATGTTATCTTATTTTAAAAGGCTAGCTCTGATATCATGTGCATTTTTAACATTTTGATTAACTTATATTATGCTATGTTTTTAAGATGACATGAGAAACAGTAGATTCTAAGACCAGCCTTTCGCTTCTGAGCATAAAAATAAGAGAGATAGACCTAGACATGAGCTGTGTTTATCCGTGGGAGTGATGGGACCAGAGATCAGTTGGACCTTTTTTTACATGAATAGATTTCTTTATATTCGCAGTTAGAAAATATTGTTGATCATCTTTTACTGGCGAGGTTAAGAGAATTATAATAGGCCTTTTATAAAGAATGCCATTTTTTGAAGCGGCTGCTTTGTTTAAGGAGTTGGTGGGATCATTTCACCATGCATATTTTAAAGCTGGGATGATTTCAGGTATTTTAAAAGTTACTCAGTTGTGCTGTTATTATGGAGTTCACGTGCTCCCCTACCCCTCAGATTTTGGTTATAGGAAAAAACATGGTACCCTTGACTTGATTCATATGGAATTAAAAAAAAATACATTCTTATATTTTGACGTTTGTCATTTTACTATACATTCATTACTAGAGTATCCGGTGGTCTAAAATAGTCAAAACTAGAGTTGTTATTAAATGCTCCAATCACATTTATTTTTAATATAAATCATGTACCTTGAAATATGTCGAAACAACTTCAGGTAATACACCTGAATTTGTAGTTATCTTTGAAGCCTCATCCATCTTATATATAATCAAGACCTAAAAAAGCTTTATATGTTGTTCTTTTTACAGTTATATTTTTGCAGCATCTCCCAGTTTCATTCATTCTTGCTTTCTGGGTTTAAAAAAATCTGCATATTTCTTGTACATATGCATGCAAATGAAAGAAGGGAGTTTGTATTGGTGCCATTTCTCCCTTCAGTTACTGATTAATGGGATTTACTAGAATAAATTCCCCCTGGTTGAAGGGTGAAAACATACCCTTTGTGTAAATCTGTACAGAGATGTGTATATGGAATGTGGTGGCACTTTGCTGAATGTGAACTTGCCTTGTCAATGGAAAGATTGAGAAGTATTATGTTTATTTATACATTTGTATAATCTATATATACACGTATGTATATGTGTGTGTATAGATAAAGCTATATACATATATTTCCCTAAAAATGTGTGTGTATAATAAATAGATAAACAGCCTTTGTTAAGCAAGATTATACGTCTATGGAAAATTCTGGATTATTCTATAAGCAGGAGGAGGTGACAGTCTAGAGTATATCATCAGCACACTAAAGTGGAGGTTCTTTGGAATATAGTCTTGTTCGTGGTTATTATGAGTTAATTTCTGTCGGAATTATTCTTCCTTGCCAGTTCTACTATTCTTCAACTTCACTAACTTCTCAGTCTGTCAGCATTTAAAAATCACACTTCATTGTGTTTTTTCTCCTTTATTATGTCCTTTCTAGCCAGAAGCATTTGTCTGAAGTGCATTTCATTAACTTTTCAATTCTTTTTTTTTTTTTAAATCTTTATCTCTGAAATTTCCCAGAAGACAGTACGTTTGGGTAATGTTTTCTTTAGTAATTTTGAGAATCGGGCATTCATCTTTGTCTCAAAAACAAACAGTAATCAACCTTGAAATAAAACTGATTTGAAAAGTTTACCTAGATAATTTTGGGATATTTACTTAAATTGAAAAAGGACATAATTATGATTTTATGATTGATAATAGAGTTAGGCTTATTTCCTCATTTATTGTCATTAATTTGTCATTTAAAAATTTAATTTACTTTGTGATTTAATCATAAATTTACCATTTTTGTTTTGATGGAAAGCATACAAAGTCATGTGTAAGCCTCTTGAATTTTTAATTAATTTTACTCATGATGAAACTGCTTTAACGAATTCTTGTGTAATGAATTCTGCTGTTTCCTTTTGACTTTTCTCACATTTGTGACATTCTGTTTTAACTTTGCTGCAGCTCTCTAGAAAACTTGCATCCCTATATATTGTGCCTTTAAAGCTCTTATGCACACACAGACAAAAGTGTATATATACATGTTGGAGCATGTGTACATATACTTTCATATATACTCACACAGTATGTCTCTAGTATATATTGTGGGAGAGGATATATAGTTATTCAAAGGCAATGAAATGTTGCTCTCTAGATATATATGTATATAAATAGTGTTGATATGCTGTATATACACATGTATATGTATGAGTTTTAAATGGCAATCTTTTACATTTAGCAAAATGCTGCCCCTACTGGAATATTGTCACTGCAATGGCAGTTGTATGTAATGATTTAAAATACATTATCAAAAATTATTTAAAGAACATTTAAAAGTTTCATCTAAAGACATCCACACATTATTTATTTATCTTCCTTTTCCTTTTATTGTTATTTTTTTTTAACTGAAAGGGAGACTGTCATTTTTAAAATGTCATCTGTCCCGTGGGAGAAGGAGAGAGTTGGAGATTCACTTGAGGAACCTCGTGCTTTTCTCTTCTCTGAAATGGAGATGTACCACAAACCAGCCTGTTTATTTCAATTATAAAGCAATCCTAGTATTTCCATTAGCGTATGTCATCCACCATCTCCTAGATCAACTTAATTCACCAATTTGCCTCTTCCTTTCATTAATAAATAATGATCATCCAGATCATTTTGCCTGGGGGAAGTTAACTACTCTCTTGCTGCAGGGAAATATATCACCTAATTGTTATTCTGCCTTGTTCAAAATTCAACTCTGAGAGAAGGCAGCATTCTCATGATGCTGTCTTAAGCATATTTTGCATTTATTAAAGGTCTTCCCAGACTTTTTTTTTAAAAAAGGACTCCAAGTCTGCATGCACTTGACAGAGATTTAATTCTTAGTCCCCACAGCTTCACGTATTTTTCATTATATCAGTTTGACACACCAAATGAAAGAATCTTAAAATACTTAAATATTTTATCTTGTGATGAGTTGGCACCAGATTACGTTTCAAGACCTTACAGAGAGGAATGTAGGTGGACAGTCCTAAATTGTAAGATGTGACAAAAAAACAGTGGAGTAAGAGTACCCCTAAAGACTGAAATAGAGAGGTTGGGGTTTGAGTGATTTCAGGGTAGCTGAGCTGGAACTTGATATCAGAAGCAGCCTTTAACAAAAAGCCTCTTAACAATTGTATGGTACTAACTAGAATACTGAAGTGTAAGTTGAAACCAAGTTGCAGTGGGAAATCAAAGGTGAGGTAGCTTATTTGAAACCAGTAAATGACAGACAGGTTGCACAGTTTTAAAATCTATTTTAACAAAGTAACTGCATGGTAGCAAGGACTAGCAGTTCTCAAAACCCTTCTTTTTCAGTGTTCTTATTCACCTTGGCACACAAGTGTTTTACAGTCCATACATTAAAAATATTTACAAAAAAAAAAAAAAGTTGCTTAAAGGGAATTTACAAACCGAGAATCTTCTCTGTATTTGTTTTAATAGTGGCTGGAATCTTAGTTATATGCACAAAAGCTAGGAGCCACTTGCTTCTGCACAGACCATAGGAACAGATGAGGAGATTGGCAGGTTTTGGGAAAAGCCACCACTTCTGAAGGAAAGGCATATCTATGACATCGGGTATGGTGTTGCTGGGGGAGACCACGTTTTGGGAGGGGGTGGGCTTTTGGTTTGTAATTTCCCTTTAAACAAGAGATGGCTCACATTTTCCATATATATCTCAATGAATGTACTGTATTACTGTTTTAAAAATTTGCTGAAATAATAATGATTGGTCTCCTTTTGTTATCTGGTCCTTGTTTAATTTGTTTAAGGGTTTTTGTATACAAAAGTTTACATTTTTATGTATATTTTTCTTGTGTAAAAACTGATGTAATATGTGTATAAAACACTGTATGTATTATCTGTATATAGTGTGACAAAATGATTTTTCTTTCTTTCTTTTGGATGTATTAATAAATCTTGCTGTGAAGTAACCTTGTTTTTGGTGTAATTTCCTTTGCCTGGATATTGATGGAAGCTGCTAATCCAGGGAAGGTATTCTCTCCCATTTTGTTATTTAAGAAAATATTTTTTTGTATCTTATATTTTATCTAGAATTCCAGAGAAACATGTGTATATGGTTCTTTATGGTTAGACTGACAATTACTAGTATTTAACTAGCTTTCGATCAATTAAATGCTCTCCAAGGTGACTTTAATGTGGTATCCAACCTTGAAATCCGACAAGAAGTTGCATTTGAAATTCTTATATGCTATAATGAAGGTCTTATACGCCAATTTTTCTTTCATTTACTCAGAATCCTCTTTTCTCTTGATTTTCATAACTTCACAGGTATAAGAACAATTTCATGCCATATAACCGAAGTTAAAAAAAAAAAAAAAATTGAAGAAACACTTCCTGTAAGTTGTTGCCAAGTGCCTGCCTTGTATCTCCTTGGAATCGATAGTTATTTTTTTTAGTATGTAGATGGGAACTTTTCATTTCCTGTGCTGTCTTGAGTTGCTGAGGAATTTCGAAGTGCACATAGAGGCTAGGACAAAATTTGCAAAGAAAATTCATTATCTTCTAATTACCCATTTCGTTGTAGAAAGTCACCGTATTTTATTTTGTGCAGTATTTGGATTTGTTTCCCTTGGTTTTTAATCCAGGCATGTTTAAGATACATTCTAAAATTATACTTGGCTTCTCTAAAAGGAATTAATATTTTGAGACTAAAAGCACATGCCCAGAGTACTAGTAAGATGACCAGCACTGACAGAACTTCATCATTTTTTCTGTTTTTTTTTTTTAAATTGACCAGGTATGAAGAGGAATGCTTGAAATTATTGTGTCCATTTCTTCAATTATATATAGGTGATTTAGAACTTCAGTTTTGTTTTTTTTTTCTAATTAAAGATGCTTTTCTAAATCCCCACACAAATGCACAAACTTTTGGAATTATACTGGCTAAGTTCTTGATTTGACTTTTTAAGAATAGCCTTAAGGAGACAAGCTTATTAGTAAAATGTTTGAATTGAGGCAGCATCTTTAAAAGGGTGGTGCTGAGAGCCTGTGGAATGCCAAGTGAAAACAAAGATTAGAGTTTAGAAGAGAATATATTTTTACTCTTTCATTAGCATAGCTTCACCCTTCTCTTTCCTCTGCCTCATTAATTCTTAGGAAAAAAACCTGTATTGTTTAAAAACCTTATTTGCATTAATTTGTACCTTTCAGCAATGTTTAAATCTGAACATTAAGGTGGTCTTAATTTGCTCCTTGCACATAACTGGCTTCTTAGTTGAAAATTCTTCAACTAACGTGACCACAGTCAATTATTTTTCCTTCAAATCCCTGTGATGGAGAGATGCCTATTGTTTAGCACTCTGAGGTTTGCTGTTTCTCTTCTTCCATCTTCCATCTTTCATTCATTTTTTTAAGTCATTTATATTTTTGAGCAATTTGTGTCAGGGATACTGGGATACATAAGGATGACTCACAATTGGATTCTTTAGTCAAACTCTTTGCCATGAAGTAGAAGATGCATAACTATACAAACGAGGTAGAAATAGGCACTTAGAAGAGTGATAAAATATAAGTTTATGTCAAGAAGAGATGATTAACGACCAAAGGACGGGAAATTTTGTAGAGAAGGGTGCACCTGAACAGAGCATTCAAGGATGGGCAGTATTTGGACATTGAGAAGTGGAGAAAGTGTTCCAGATGGGGCAGATTAACCAGTTGGGATAACTCATGGTCTGTGAGAACAGGGAGCAATTTGACTTAAGTATAAAATGTGTGGAGACTGGTGAGAAACAGTGGAGAAGCTAATGGGGATGACAGCATAATGGGCATGGAAGGCTAAAGTAGGCAGTGGACAATGGAATGATAGCTATGATTCAAGAAGACAAATCTGGCATAATTTAAGAGAATAAGGTTCATAGCAGAGAGGCAAAATTAGGAGGCTATGCAATAGGCTAGTTAATGGAGTCAAAACTAGTGGTAAAAATCTAAAGGAAGGAGAAATTCCAAAAGACTTGGAAATAGGGTAGGGAGGAGGAGGAATCGAAAGAGGCTTCATCCCCTGGATTTCTGAAAGAATTACTGATGCTGGGAGTAGAAGTGGACAACATTACTTAATGATTTTGAGAGAGCCAAGGAGTTTTAAATATAAAGTTTGAGTTGGAAGCAGGGGCATTCAGGTGGAGATGACCAACCAGTAGTTGTAGTCAGGGCTTGTAGGGAGGCTCAGCTGAAGAAGATATGGAAGTTATGGGCATCGAGTTGATTGTCGAAGCCCCCTGTAAATAAATGATCAAGGAAGAAAGATAAGGACAGATTTGGATTAGTCTATTTTATTTTACTTGCAGGCCCAGAAAGAGCTTCCATAATTTCCTCAGTCTCCTACCTAGCGAATAGGGATCTGGTATTCAAAGGCTAGCAGGCTGATGACCTCCTTCACACTCAATACCAGAATTGATGGGATTGAGGAAAGTCATCTCCTCTCCTTGAGCCTGACCTGGTGAGGGCCAATGGGTGTGCGCTCACCCCTCACACTGCGTTCTAATGACTTCTTGTTTGCCTCACCTGGACAGTATGTTCCAGTGTCTATATCATTAGTCCCTGAAACCTCAGCCCCTAGCATAGTGTGCTTGCCCATAATTACACAATAAATATTGATGAGCGAAGTAAGTACTCTGAAGAAGTTCCTGAATAGAAGGAATGCAGATGGAAAGAGACTTAGAGGATCTGGAGAGAGGCAGTGTAGCAGCTGCTTAAGGCTGTGGACTTTGCAGCAAGACTTTCCTGGTTCTCATCTTGATTCCATTATTTATGAACTGCGTGAGCTCAGATAAGTCATTTAACCTCATCCATAAAATACACTAGGAGGAATCCATGACACTACCCATGTAAAGCAATTAGAATAGTCCCTGGCACATACTAAGTAAGCACTTGGTCAATTTTAGTTATGCTCATTTTATGAGTAGTGGGAAAGATTGAAGTTACAAACAACATAGGCCAATTCCTAATATAAGTGGCTAGGGGAAAGTGGAGAAAAAATGAACAAGTGATAAAGGGAGTCTGATAAAGGAGTGCTGATTTTTGTAATAAAAGAGAAAATAGGCAACCAATAGATGGGGTTCCTTTTATCCAATCAAGTTCCAAAATAATTTAGGATATGTTTAGTTACTGAAATTCTATTAACTGAAATGTTTCCCTTTTGCTTTATAATATTTTTAAGTTCTACACTTCATCTTACAGAGTACAAAGCACAATTTAATGGAATGAAATGTGTTATTGTATCCTGGAGAAAAAGTACTCAAGTATCCTGGCTTACAAAGTATTCAAGAAATTAAAATGTAAGTATAAAAAGTTAGAGGGTTCTTTATTAAAAGATGTGCATGTCACCTGCTAAACTAAAAAGCAGAAATCACATTAAAAGAGCCAGTCCATGCATACCTCCACAGTCCATAGAGACCAGATATGGTGCCTCATGGTACTTAACCCTCTGTACCATGGATATTTCTTTAAAATCTTCTCTCTACTTTCTTTCCCCCTCGATTGCTGTGGTTTCTTTGGACAGCTAAACATTACACTTGCTCTTTCCACTATTACTCTTTAACCCATTGCAATTTAGCTTTCGCCTTTGTTATTTTTCTGAAGCTGTTCTTCCCGAGGCCATTGGTGACCTCTGCTGTCATTCTCTTTAACTTCTGAATCGGTCAGCGTCGAGGACATTCCATTGCCCTGTTTCTCCACTTAATTCTCAGATTATGTCTTTTCTCGGTTCTTTGTTAGTTCCAACTACTCTTTCTTCTCCCTAAGTTTGAACGTGTCTTGAACTAATTCTTCAGCGCTCCCTATTGTCCTTGCGCTGTGTCTAAGCTCCCAGTGGCGGCTACTCTCAGACTTGGGTCTCACACCCACAACCAACCGCTGCCCGGGGGCCTCTGCCTCCCCATTCCACCATGACTATACATTTAACTCACCTAGGTTCATACTTCTCCTCTTTCC